TAGTGCCACCAAAGTGGTCCAAGACCCACCCTCAGCATGTGGGAAAACTAGAGCTGCTTGCTTTACCTCCCACAGAAATAAAACAGCATTCTATGCTTCAACAGATACTTGTCCTAAAACACCACTACTTGCTTGGACACTTTACAGCTGGAGGAACAGTTGCACATCTGTGTACTGAACTGTCCCAGACTCAGAAGAAATTTTACATCAGACACGACTTGACTGGTGCTTTGGAAAACCTGTTGCATGGACTTCAGTAAGAGACTCTGGTTTACCAAAATTCTGTATGCATTTTAATTGTTTTTTGTAAATATGTGTACTGTAATATGGATTAAGTTTCGTCTTTTTTGTAATTTATTTCTATTGTACACAAGTAATAAAAACATTTTGTAAATGTAAAATAATGTAGGGATGGCAGTGTCAAAAAAGATTGTGAACAAGAACATATACAGCTATACATAGATCAATCTTACATGACTTTTAATATTCAAATTTAATGTTACACTGTAAAATACACGAGTACAAAATGGTTATGAGGTCAGTCAATTCGACCGACCTCATAGCGACAGTCTGTAATAATCAAGACTTGTTTTTAATCAACTTGGTTTTCCTTGTATGTAAGTCCTAGGCTCTTAGTTACATTATCCTGACATGACCATGATATTATGATAAACAAACTTCATACCAACAGTCAGGAACATATAACTTCCAACTGCAGTATGCATTTTACAGTGCAAAATTAAATATTAGTATTGAAATTAGTGTAGGGATGATTTGTGAATAGCCGTACCGTTCTTATATTCTTGTTTGTATTATTTTTGGCACTGCCATCGTTACATCATTTTACATTTACAAAATGTTCTTATTTCTTGTTTTATAACGTTTTTTTTTTTCTCTGACTGAAAGTTATTGGATTCTATGAATGTGTGTGATAAAATGTAATATTATGTGTAGTGATTTTTTTTTTACTCCTCCACTTCGTACGTAATATAAGGGTTGACTCCCTAAAGACATTGATTGTATAGTGTACAAAGCATTGAATATTAAGGGGTGTTGAAAAATAAATCATCCTTTTTCCCCCGAGAGCATAACAAAGTAAAATAAGATTTTAATTCAATCAAAAAGTAATTCCAAGTATCACTATCGCTTGATTGAACCACCATTGTTCTCACGCACGAGTTTTAATTGATTTGCAAAAGATTTCAGCAATGCAACAAACATGTTTGTTTTTGTGGCCGTCTCTGTGAGCACATCAATGAGTACATGAATCAAGGTTTCACGTTTGTCTCTCGCATTCAGACAAATTTTCTTATGTGCATTGTTGAACGAAAGCTCCGACTTGAATTCTCGGAGCATGTCAGCGACTAGTTTCTGAGCCATCCCAAAGGCAGCACATGCGACACGAACCTGAGTTCTAGTGAGCACCATGATTCAAAAGTTTACGCAAAAAATGAAATTCGAAGAGTCAAACACCCAAGAGTACTTGAAATGACGTTTTCTCACGAGTGATGATATTCGCAGTCCTACCAAGTTCGTCATTACTTCGGGGGAAAAAGTGTGATTTCTTTTGCAACACCCCTTACATGTTACATTCATCCGATGTTTATTTATTTTTGGCTGGTAATTCCTGTTTCAATCTGTACTTAAGATTTTTAAAGGAACACCATATTTCTCTAAAAATGCTAACATCGTTTACACTAGAATTATGATTTTCTTAATTACTACTAGTTATTACAACTAAGGAATGATATCGTGCACTGCCAGAAACACATTTAGTGGATTTAGGTTTAAGTGATAAAGTAGTTGTAGAGTTATCTCGACTGAAACAAGAAGAAGAAATATGAACAATTTGGTGGGTTGGCCATTTTCTGGTTTGGTGTTCTAGTGATGGTTTCTTGCCTTCTTTATGGGCTTGTTGGGTAAAGAAACAAATGAAAGTGAGTGACAATCATCTTTTAAAGTAAAACTCTCTGTCATTGCATATTTGTATTATGCCTATTGAGTGCCTTGGCCATCCCTACATGTACCGACTCTATGATATGCTTTATAAAGTGATATTAATTTTTCCTATATTTCTATTACTGATTTTTGTTGTTGTTATATATATATGAATATACTATGATGTAGATATATATATATATATATATATATATTGTAAATGGTTGTTTTGTATAATGTTTTTTATGTAATCTTGAAGGCTTCTTCGCATTTGTTCAATGTCAAGTGGTTTTCTTTCCGCAAACTTTATTTTATTGTTTTGATTTCATGAAAATAATTGTTTTTTAGATAAAGTTAAAGGGATTGTTTTAATATGTTATATGGTTTTTTGAATGGTTTATCATACTTTGCGGTTTCTCTTGTAAATGTGTATGCATATACTTGGGTATTTTGTATAATTTCTGTGCTTTTCTTATGGGTTTACTCTATTTGTTTATAATCTTGGTGTACTTCATTCTTGACTTGTTTTTCACTTTTAAGTGTTTTACAGGTTCAAATATAAATTACATTGTTTTCTTGTGTGGGTTTATTTAATTGGTTTTTAAATTTTAAAGCCAGAGATGGCTGGGATGGCCTGAAAATAACGAAGGGAAAAGAAGCTGTAGTATGAGGGTATAATAATTTTTTTTCTCTTTTGTTTAACATGAAATATTTCAAAATTTGCATTCTTGCAGGTTTATGTGGTTACATAAAAGTCGTTAAGCTCATTTCGCCTTAATTATATATTGTCCTGGGTCATTCACTTGTGGTATCATGTGAGAAAGATTTCTATAAGGATGAACTTACTTTGTGGATCAGATGATATTTCAAGGATGGAGCCTCCCTTGTTTTGCAATGGGAATAACCAACAGTCACATGGACGGCGCATGTGTCCTGAGAAGATTAACGTAATTGTTTAATGTATATAATATTATGTTTTCTCAGTGTAGAAAGAAATTATTCACAGATTCTAAGAGTTACGATTACAATCTTCTGACAATTTTTTGAGAGATATAATACACTTCAGCAAAAGTGTCGCCTCCCCCAATAGCTCAGTGATAAGTCTACGGGCTCACACCACTAAAAACTGGGTTTCAATACTCGTGGTGGACACCCCACAGATAGCCCATTTTGTAGCTTTGTGCTTAACAACAAAAGAACAAGCAAAGGTGTCATCTTTTGTTAATACACATATTTTATTAGTTTTGAATAATAATTGTTCTATTCGTTTTTCTTTGTGTCCAGTCTGTTTCTTTATTCACAACTCAATCAAAAGTGTGGGAATATAATTGAACTTTGCATAACATTATTTGTGAAACCTCCTATTATTCTGCAGAAGCTATCAACTTACTCTAAAAACCACAAATTTTACATTTCAAGATAATAAGGTTTTTACTTAAATCAAAGCAATGTCCTACAACTTCTAGGATTCAATCCATCATCTGACGAGATGTCGAAAACCAAGTCCTTTTACAAATTGAGTAAATACGAAATACTGTTAACACAATACTTTTAACTTCTCAAACTACCCAGCCACTACAATTTTGATTATTGTTTTTATATGATGTAAGTAGTAGTTTAAAGCATAAACAGGCTAATCATCATTAGATGCAACAAGAATGTGTACCCAATTTGCCATTAATTAGAAGAAAAAATTAATAAATTTGTAGCGTGTTCTATCACTTTCATCGTCTGATGGTTTGTTTTAAATTATATGATGAAAACAATGCCAAGTCTAGCCAATGTAACAATAAAAAATGAGCTTGTTTCTTCGATAACGTTTGCTACATGCTACTACCAGTTGTAGACTTAAGTTCACAAATGAAGCTTTCACTTTTAACAAAAATTAATTTGCTAATGGTACCACGAGTGACATACAAATAAACGTACTTGTAAATCACACAGTTAATCGATCGAGTAACTAAATATATATATGCTATAACTAACACTAACTTGAATACTTCAGTGACTTCTTAATCATTGAACAAACTGAAAAATAACTCAATGCTTCACTGATTCTCTTATTAATCAATTATCTACGATTCTTTGTATTTCGTAAAATCTCTCGATTAGTAACCTTCAGAAACATTATAGGCGGTAGGCCTAGGGTGCGAAAACGGCATTCGGTATGAGAAAAGTACTTGTTATGATGAATATAATATATTAATTATTTAACTAATTGTGAAAGAATACAATAAAAGTATGTAATATTTTGTTCACTTGCCATTTTATCTTGTTAAATAATGGTTTTAATACTTATTCTTAAAACTACATTACGCACACTAGGAAAAGTGATTGGTGATATACAAAAAGGGTTCATTATGATAAAGGTAACGATTTAATTGTTAAAATTTGGTATTTGTTTGTTGCAGCAAATACATATATTTTCATTCTTATTATTTCATGTAAGGCTATAAAAATGACAATTAAGTGATTTACATTATCATGTTGACTTCTTTCCGTAAAATGATTGTTCTTTTCGCACTCTTGTCTTCCCGAAACTTTCAAATCTAGCGTCATCATCAAATTAGCACCTCCCTCAGTAAACAACTAAAATAAATTATTGAAACATAGTTTACAATAATACGAGCTAATCACTTTTCTGTATCTAAGATTCCATTTTACATATATTTAATTTTAATTTAAACTATGCTCATGTGAATTAATTATTTGAATACTATTTTGTGCTTCAGTTTCTCAGCAAGAAACTAATGATATTTTAGCTTCTAGAGATCACTGACCAAATCTAACCATTTTTCCAATTTTCTTACAAAAGAAGTTCAGCATTCTTTAGAACAATAAACTAAATGAAAAATAATTATTAGAAACGAAGTTTAATTTTAAATTTGACTAAAACTTCTAATTTTAAGTTGTTATGGTTGAGATGATAATTTATTGCTAAAATAAGTTTAATTTTTCTATTTTACCTTTTCCATGTTGGGCTCTCTATTCGACTTTGTTTTAATCGTTATAACTATTACTTTTAGTATTGTAGAGGGTGTTCACGTCACATTTCGCGGGAGTTTTAGTAACGATATAGAAAATTGTGTTTTTAAGTATAACATTTAACTTATTTTTTAAGCAATTTAGTTTAGTGTTGTGTTTACTTTGAAGTTAAACTTTTTATGTGGTCGTGTAAATATTGAAGTTTCTTTTGTCCCTTTTTATTTACTGATTTTAAACCTAAAAAATGCCGTGTGAAGTTTCAGAAGAAACAATTCTTAAGGAACTAGAAGAATTTAGCTGTAGTGTAACTGACGAAAGTGTCTTAACAAAAAGTAAGTTAAAGTGTAAACTACTCACTTACCTTTTTTTTAGAATAAGATAAAGAGCTAGGCATTATTTAAGTTGTATATGTTTGTGTTCTTCTTCAGAAGATACTCTTAATTTGATTATATATATAAGTTATTACTATATAACATAACATGAAGGATTATTTGGTCCGTCACGGTCAAGCTCATTTCCTGCACACCAGGCACTACTAAACACCGAAATGTAACACAACGAAATTGATGTACATAATAATATATGTGTATATATATTTTCTTAAATTAAAACCATTTTGAACAAACTCAAAATATATTAATAAAATAAGTGATGTGACTCTCACTGAATAAAGCAATATGTGTCATGTTCTTGGAATAGTAAAGAACATTGAACCAAGCAGAATATCATTTACGTAAATCAATTAAAATAAATTTTTCATATTTAGTATTTTACATAATTATTTATCCAAAGTAATTTCTTTGCATTACAATTCAGTGACATTTCCATTTTGTTACATTTCTGTGTGTAAAATACTTTCATTTCATTGTTCATTTTATATTAATTCGGTGTTTAGTACTTCCATTTCTTAAAATTTTGGTGTTTAGGAGACTGGTCTGCATACCCACCTTTGTAAACCTTAACAAATTTAAACCCCTACCCTTTATTTTTAGGAAAAATTTCAATTCCACTTTAAAATTGTGGTAAAACACCATTCTCCATTATTTCCAATGGCAACTCATTCCAGAATTAAATCACCTCATTCAAAAAATAAAACTAAAGTTTAACCTTTCTTTTTCCAAATCATAAACAAACTTGTCTCCAGGACATAACTCAAAGAAGCCAGTGACCTTGATCCTGTTAATAGACTGGATAATCTTATTAACTTCAATAATATCACTTTTAACCCCACTTTTCTGAAGAAGCAATAAGTTAAAACACCTTAACCTAACCATATCAGATACCCTTCCATCACTGGAATTATCCTATTATTATTAGCACTCTTCTGAAATCTTTTCAATAAATCTATATGTTTATCCTTTCTTAAATATACCAAACTGTACACACTATTCCAGGTGAAAACTAACTGTTGATTTATATAGAAAGATAATTACCTTTTCTGACTTGCAATCAATGTATATAAGTACATATTAAAACTCTATTTAGTTTTGTTACTAGCAACAGAGCACTGCTTTGATGGTTTGAGTGACTCATCTACCATTATGGCAAGATTATTCTCTTCAATCACACTATTGAGTAGATTCCTATCTGTATTAAATGTGAGATTCAAATCATGATAATCCCAATTCATTATGTTTTACTTACTACAATTAAAGGTCATTTTCCACATATATGTCCAACTAACTAACTGATCCAAGTCATTCTGAAGTACCTCAATAACCTCAATACAGCCTGAAATATCAAAGTTAATGTTATCTCCAAACTTTACTTCTTATGCTCCTGTCAGTATCATTCACAAGCATAAGAAAATTCAAAGACTCTAACATTGACTCCTCAGGAACTCCACAAGTAATATGGGTTCAGCTTAGTTGAACTCCATTAATAGGAACTTTTTGTTTTCTCTCATCTGACAACCCAATAATCCTATTACTATACTTTCCTCAACACTCACCAATGTAAGCTTATTAAGTAATATTTTCTGTAGTACTGTATTAAAAGCTTATTGAAAACCTAAGTACACCAAGTCTCCATCTTTCCTGTCATCCAGATACATATTCACATAACATCCTTGAAAGAAGCTAAAAGATTAGTAAGGGAATATTATCCATTAGTAAATCCATGCTGATTTCTTTTGTGATATTGTGTCTTACTGGATGGTTTTTCAAAGTTTCATTTATCAGACTCAAGAATTTTTTCCCCTACAGATGTAAGACTAACTGGTCTACAATTTAAAGGTTAATTCCTATCACTCCACTTACCAACACAACTACCATTAGCAGTTCTCCAGTCCTTAAGCATCTGCTCAGTGGCTATTGACCTACCAAAAATGAAAAATAAGGGTTTCACATATCTAATCTTTGACTTCCTTTAAAATCCTGGGAAAAACAGTGTTTAGTCCTGGTGTTTTATCTAGTCTGTAGTTAGCACTAACTTAACAAAGAACTTTAAATTTAATCAGACAGATTAAGTCTTTTTTTTTAACAGAAAAACTTGCTTGTTATTAATAAACAGAGCATAATATGTATGGTTACAACTTTTTACCAAGTTAACCTGGCATCATCATGTGAAACAGCTATAATGTATGAACACATAATCTTGGTGGCATGAAAACTAGTGGATGAATACATTGGTAATTGATTGGTTGAGCTGTCAGTTATACTTTGTTCATTGATAATAAACAAGTTTTTTCAGTTTTACCAACAGAGTGCTTCCTTTAGTTATTTTTAGTATGGTGCATCACTGAAGATCACTATTGTACTCATGTAACTAACTTCTTACTATACTGAGAAAAGCAGTATAACTCTTGAATTATTTGGAATTTTTACTACTAGTATTTCTAGGCCATTTTTTTTTGTTAGGGTGGAATTAAGTTAAATCAATGTTAACAATGTAAAAACAGTATTAGAATATACTGTTGAAGGTATGACTTTCATGTATCAATTTTATGTTGTTTATCAAATCATAGTTTCCATGTAGGAGTTAATTCCCTAAAGTTTGGTAAAAATCTGGTTAGAAAATTTAATAATAGAATAAGTTTGAAAATTAAAGTAGAATCATGATGGTTATGCAGTTTTATCATCATGATTAAGGCATGCATATGTACAGTAAACCTGTAGTTCTTTCTTGGATAAAAGCATTATCCTGCTTGCATTCAAAAGTATAATTATTAAATAATAATAGTCTATTTCTACGACTAAAAATTTAAGTTTTTGTATGCAAATGTTTTTAGGTTTTTAGTGTCTTCTACTAGTTCATTCCATACAATTATTTCTTAACATTCACCTTAAGAAATGTCACCAATCAGTAAAATGACATACACCTATAGTTCATACAAACCAACATTGCAACAATCCATGACACTGCTGATCCCAGTTAGCACAGACTTAGTGAGTAGTTTTATTTTGTGATAATAAGTTGACTACATATTACTTAGAAGAATTGCATCTTATGTTTGACTGTTGTTTCTTTTTGTTTTTTGTTTCAGTGAAAGAGTTGTGCTTTGTGTATCAGTTAGATGCAGAGCAGATGGTGTCAAATTGGGTTGCTTTTGCTACAACCAAAAATATTGACAGTGAAGTTACTCTTGATCTTTTAAACCAGCTCGAAAGAGAGGTATAATGCACATTTATATAGTATTGTTTTTCATTAATAAGTATTACCAGCATAGACAGCATAACCAACTAGAAACAGAATTAATTCAGAGTAGACCTACTTGCACATTCAAATGTGATGTGTTTTTCTCAATACAGAAAACTGTTGATGTGTATAAATGGATGTGTCATTATATTTAAAAGGTTAGCATATCTATTGTGAATTTTTGAGAAAAATACTGTATAAAAAAAATGCTGTACGATCTGATGAAGAGCTCTAGCTCGAAACTTCATCCTCTTTACATAAAAATATAAAAAACTTGGTGATTGTTTTAATCTATTCTTTAATTTTTATGTTTAATATAAACCTTAGTATTTTTAAAATAAAGTTTTTTTTTCCTATAGGAATTGAACAAGAAAACAAAAACACCAAAGTCATCACGAAGAAGTCAGAAGGCCCTACCTGTGTACAATGCAACAACTATTGATTTGATGTATCCTTTGTTATGGAATAATATAATTGCTTCTTTAATGGAAATATGTTGTGTCAGATATTTGCTTAAAATTTATACATATGAATTAAAATCTACATTATAAATGGCTTGTGTCTGTCTGATGAAAAATTTTTAAATATTGAAATATCTGATCACCATGGAACTGTCATGGTTCATGAACATGCCTCACTACTCATTACTTCGTTCATTTTCTCATTTTTACTAATTTAATAACCATTTCAATTTTCTCACCTGCTATGACCTTACTGCCTACTTACTGAACTGGTTGCCAGGAATATTTTAAGTTCCTTTGGGTATTGTCCATGTCTCTATGACACCTACAAGTACAATGAAACAGTATATTAAAAATAGTTGCAGTAATATGAAGAAGTTGGCCAGCTGAAGTGAATTTATAAACATTTTGTGCCAGTATTCATTAGACCTGAATGACACACAGTCTGGCCAATCTCATGAAACCAGTGAAATAAATGCTTTCCATGGCTCTGATATATTGGTTAGTAATAATTTATGAGGTCATTAAATAACTAAACATTTTAATAAAATTTCAATAATCAAATAAATTGAATAATGTGTATCGCAAAAAAATAAATGTTTTAAACATTCTAAAGTATTTAAGTACCAATTTGCTTCTGACTTTATTGCTTACAGGATTCTTAATAAGATGTGAGTCACACTAAAACATTTTACATAAATATCAACATTGCAGTTAATCCCACTAATTACTGCTGAAGTCCCATGTGTATCTTACTTATAAAGTAGCGATTTCAACATTTTATTTTAAATACTACACTGAGTGTTGCAACAAGCAGTAATGTATAATTACACACTACAATGCAGTATCCAGACTATCTGGAATGAAAATTATAAATACAATTCTGTACGTTGAGGATAAAGTTAATGGGATTTATGTCATAAATCTCCGGTGAAATCAAGTTATTCACTCATTATTTTATTAAGTTAACTATTCCAAAAGTTTGTAATATTGAATTGATTTTGCATTTAAACTTCAGAATTTTCTTTAACATTCTTTTAGTTTAAAGATAAATCAAAAGTGAATAGTATCACCTGTAGATAAGACTAGAGTTTGTATGCTAAAGTGTGATATGTTGTGGAGATAATAGATAGCTTAGTAGAAATAACTACAGAATCTGCCAATTTTTATAGTGCATGTTGGATTAAGTGATGAAATTAATGGGAGACAAGAACTTTTGAGAAAGGTGAAAAGCTTTTGGATGATTAAGTAGTCATTTGTTTTCGACTTAACACACTAGAAGTATTTCTAGTAGGTTGATGAAATAATTATTATTATTTTTTTCTGTTAACGTTGAGGTTTTTGGTAGTACTGAAACTTGATGAAAGGAAGATTATGATGATCCCATTTTAAGATCTTGATAGGAAAAAAGATCGGATGGCTAATCTGAATAGGAATGTTGTTAATGAAGTATTTGATGCTTTTACCAAACTAGCTTTAAAGGAATGCATTTCTTCAAAATATTACATTCCAGTCAAAGGTCCATTCCTATGGGGATTACATAATAAAAGAAAAATTCTTAAGCTGACAATAATATGGAACTTACTATTGTTGGATGCTGAGGTGTTGAAATAATTGTTGCTGTCTTAAATCATTAAGCCACCACCACTCAACTGAATAATGTCAGCAGCTCTTCCATTTTTGACAGTTCAAGACATATTTCAGTTTAAATCATGTCAAGTCAGTAACATCAACTTTCCCATGGTACAACTAAAAACCAATAGTTATGTAGATACAAAAGTTAAAAAGAGAATAGATGACATGAACATTGCAATATTAAAATGTCAAATGTAAAGTAATAACTAGCTAAGCCCCCCAGTGGTACAGCAGTATGTCTGCGGACTTACAACGCTGGAATCCGGGTTACAATTCCTGTGGTGGGTAGAGCACAGATAACCCATTGTCTAGCTTTGTGCTTGATTACAAACAAACAATAACTAGCTAAACTTAGTAGGTATTCTGTTTAAAACTTTTACCACCAGTCTTTATTAACTGTCTCCTGTAACAAACACTTAGAACTGGCAACAGGAAATAATAATATTCAATCTTTTGTAAAAGCCAAAAAGAAAACTCAATGATTCTCTACAAAGATAAAAGTTCTATAAGAATAGAGCTAGTATGACAATGGAAGTAATTATAAAGACTAACTAAACTAGTGATGCAATGTCAAACAATGTGCAAAAATCTTGTATACCTATTATTAATTATTATTAATAGTAATAAACTAACAGTGAGTAAAACCAGTAAAAACATTAGTTGTTTTGTACTATCCTAAACAATATCCCAAGAAAACAAAATATAGACAAATTTTTTAAAATGTTGTGGTACTGTGTAAAACATCTAAACCTGTAATATTTGTTGAATTTCCCACAAAATTGAATGAAATTTGTGTTTAATGTGCACAATGAGAAATCTCAATTATTGAAAATGAGGGTGAGTTTATGAGCTCTATGTACAAAATCATGTAATGATAAACAAGTTGTGTTGGACATGAGCAATGATAAAGAATTTTTTTTTTATGATATTTAAATTTACATTACCGTCTTTAGGCAAAAATCTTCCCATTTTCTGTGATATAGTAGGTCTCTCATATTTATCTTACTGTCATTCATTACAGCCATGCATATAGTTTCTATACAAAGTAAAGTTAGGTTCTCTCTCTAATAAGTTGTTGGGTCTTAACAGTTATGCTTCAATAAATTTGCTATAACCTTGACTTTGACCTTGTTATTCAACTTTGGCATTTGTACATTCCTGGAAAGCTTACTGGTTTGGGAGAGAAGAATTATTCTCATCCCAGAAAGAATTTATGAACCTCTCTTGAAGTTTATGAATATTTGTTTTATGGCTTGACTATTCATTGGGGAAATAAGATGCTTTTCTGCTGTATCAAATACTTTTTTCTTTTTCTTTTTTTGCTGTCAAAGATCTTATAAAATCTTAATGATTTTGTCAATTCTTTGATTGTAGCTGTTTGAATAGTAGCGTAATTTTTCCAAGTCCATCGTAAATATCTATGAATATCTTACAGATTTTAGCAGATTTATTGTGATAGTTTTTACCAGTTCACTTTTAAGTTTAAAAACATTTTCTGTTGCTGGTTTGTTATAACTTGTGGTGGAATGGTGGAAGAATATTATATTGATCTCTTGCTGCACTCCTAATACCAAAACTAGTTATGTATAATTTATGTGTATCTTTTGAAGATATAAAGGTAATAAAACCTTAAGCACAGTAAAAGTTTTAGAAGAAATGTGTATGTTAGATAACATTTATAAAGAAATTTGACCTAACATATGTTCAGAAATAGCAGCATTGATGATGATTTAATTGAGGGTTATGGAACACCTACAGGAAGACTGAGCTCAGTAAGTTGGTTTTTTTAAACATGGATTAGATTGTTCAAGGTTTTTATGTATAAAACTTTTACTCTATTCCTAGATATTATCCCAAGGTTTACATTTACAAAAGGAATAATTAGAAAGTCCACAATCTTAATCAAAATTTTAACATTTGAATTTGACAATTTGAAAAAAGTGTAGTGAAGACAATTAATTGTATTTTGTTTCGATGAAACAAAAGCTATTACAGCAAACAAAAATTTTTAAGACAGTTTTAAACTGTTAGTGCTTCTTGCAAAAGCAAGATTTACCTAATTGATTCCTTAAGTGTGTGTAATTGCAGAACAGTTTATTTGTTGAAATAATAGTTTCTGTTTGTTCATTGTTTGGATCTCTTGAATTTGTTTTCTTTAATTTCATTATAAAACCAAAAAAAGTAAATAAAGTATCCTTGCAGTATGTTGGAATAAAGGCTTTTTGGTGGATGTTTTATCAACTATATTTACACTGTTTTTTGCACACATGCAGTTTATCAAATAATGAATGTGTGAAGGATTGCTTGCTAGCATATTTTTTAGTTTAGATTTTTGTATTCATTTTTTGACTGACCTTCTTTCAGATTTTAGGTGATGGTAACTTAATGATTCTGTGATTGCTTGTTACTGTATATGTTGATGTTTAAATAATTTTATTAGCAAGGTCAAAAGCGAATCAGAACACCAGAGAATGCTGTTATTAAAAGATTGAACTCAGAAGGCCGCAGTCCTGGTCTCCCTTTCTCACCGGCTTCAATCTCACCTGGAGGGTAAGTTTTTGTTACTAATACCTTGACCAGAGAAGAATGGAGTCCTGAACTCCTTTTTTTTTCTTTTTCACCAGATTTACTTTCACTTGGAGGGTGAATTGGTAAATCTTTGTTATTATTTAAGGTAATCTCAGAAGGATAAGTCCAAGTTTACTTTTTATAATTAGCTTCACTGTCATTTAGAGAGTAAAGTAGGCTTTGCATTTTTTTCACAAATCTTCTTTTTTAAAAGAAATCTTTTTCCTGCTCTTTTATTACCATATATTTATTAAGAATATGTCCTGTTTCTTGTTCTTCCATTTAACTCTCTGTTCATGGGCTTGGTTAAGTGGACTGATCCATATTTGTGAAGCTTTAAAATTAAAATACTAATGTTTACTACAGTTCTGAATTTACTACGTTTATCTTTACAAGATTTACCAAGCTTTTTGTAAACATTACAAGTCTGTTGTACAGGAAAAACTTTTTAATTTAATAACATATTTTTATTAAAAAATTGTCAGTGAATTTTTAAAGCCGATACTCAATCAGTCTCAGTCAAAGGTGCTTTTATGCTAGGAATACAAATACTTCTTTTCATTGTATACTTTTATATTCTGACACAATACCTTCCCAACACTCACATAATAGCGATTCTTGATTGTTCTACCCTCTATTTGTGTAAGTTTCATTTGCCATTAGCTTTGATGCTCCCACTTACCCTCAGATGATTTCACATGGGAAAGCTGTGCTCTAACATGCAAATAAGCATGTGACAACCCTCCACCAATAGGAGTGTGACACACCCTCCTAGGGCAGCTGACTCCCTCTATACTGTAGAGCACTTTCATCACTTCTGGATTTGGCATTCCAGTGTGCAGTTGTTCTTGATTTTCAGTATGTTTCATATTGTCATGTGTAATTTCACTTAACACTACTGTATTGACAACTTTAATTTGTTGTCATTTCTTTTTTGTTTAAAAAATTTGTGGAAAGTTTCTGTTGTTTTCTTTTCCACATAATGAACTTTCAAGTTATTAGTATTACTAGTATTATTATTATTACTCAGTTTAGTATTCGCTTCTGGTATTGATCCTGCCACTACTGATCCAACAACACTTACTACTTCTGTGGCTTCGGGTTTCACACTTTCGGGGACAAGGTCTCGGCCTTCGTGCATAATAAGTTAGATCATCTATCATGCATCCAGCTACATCTCTGGAACCCCAGTCGGATCTTCCTTTTCCTGAAGAATCTGTTCCTGAAGCAGAAAATTTGGACAGCCTCCTGCCTTTGCTGTGCCTTCCCACTCTACCCCTCTTAATCTACCTTGCCCTTTGTCTACATCTTGGGCATGATTTTTCAGGTAAGTTACCTTTTGTCTCTTTCCCCTGTATCTTATGATTTCTCCCCCTCCCTTCTTCATTTTGCTCTTTTGTTGGATTATTTAGTTTTTTCCCCCTCACCTGATATTCAAGTCCATGCTGAACAACTTCTTACCCAATTAGATTTGGGTGTCAGCATGCCTCAGCTCAACATTTGGCTGACTCCATGCTTTGGCATATCATAGACCTTAGAGTCTCTGATTCAAGCATGGAGCTCTGATCCTGTTTTTCCTGGCCCAGTTCTCTTGTCTCTGTTTCAACCTCACTACCATCCTCTGGTAGCTCTCATTCATTCACCTCTTTTCTGAGTCTATATATCGTTTCCCTGAAGGGTTTTTGGCAGATACACTTGCCCTTTTTTTTCTACATTGGTATGCTTATTTTCCTTAGCCTTATCCCTTCATATATTGCTCCTTTGTTGTTGGGATCTTCTTGGCAGGGACATCCTCTTGTCACATGTGCATCTGCCTGCTTCCTAATTACGTGATCTCTTTCTTGCTCCTTTCTAGTGCCAGTCTGTTTTTGGGGACATCACTGATACTTTAGAGTCTTGGGTGGAGACTGCGCATCAACATTCCTCCCTCTCCTCACTTGTTTCCAGTGGCCCTTTCTCCTTTCCTAGATTCCACTCTGTGGCTAGTGGTGCCTGCCCAGGTGTGCTTAAGTGTAAATCTGCACCATATGGCCATACAGATCTATAACACTCACTGAAGAGATGGGGTGTTCCACAAGACCACTGGAGGTTGCCTCGCAGCATCTTGCTTCGTAAATAAGTCCTGCACCAGACTGTACTGACTCATGGACTACCATGAATAATGCAATATTGGGATTGTTGCCCATCCCTCTGGTTCTAGTTTAATAAACCAAGACTATCCTGTTTTTCAAAATGGGGTTTGATGGTCCCCCATTGCAATGTTATGTTTGTCTGGACTCCCCACTGCATTGCCCCCCCCCCCCCACCTTATCCCAGTGGAGTACAGGAGTCTTTGCCACTTAACAGTTTCTAGCTGCTGTGGTGGTGGACCATTTATGCTTCCTCCTGAAAGTGACAGATTACACTCAGTTGAGAGTAGAGTGGTGGTGTTCTGTTGGTTTAGATGGTGAGTACTCTCCTCCTACCACAGACAATAAAAAAATTTTAGATGCCACCTGATTTTGGACTGGATGAATCTACCACATGCAGTTCACCTCTTCAGCTGACTTGTCCCATCCTACTGCTGTCTGGATATTGGTTCCCAGATGGTCTAATGTTGGATTGGCACAGAACCAGCCAACATAAGTCCTCTCACATGTGGTTGGAAGGGACCCTCCTCTTACCATGGACTGTATGACAAATTCATGACATCGCCTGGTTTTAGACTAGAGTTGACCCACCATATTTGTATGACCCTTCCTACTGTCGCCCAGATGTCGGGTTCCTGGAGAACTTGGTGTTGGTTGTATACTAGGTATACACACATGCCCTGCCTGGGTTGTCAGAATGGGAGTTGTTTTTCTCTTCCATTTCCTGATATTGAGATGAAGACAGTTGGGGCCCTCCTCTTACTATGGACCTGATAACAAATACCTGATGCCTCCTGGTTTTAGACTGGAGTTGACCAACTGAATATAGTCTGATGTGCCCTAGCCACTCTACATCATCTGGCAAGTCTAATTACAAAATGGATGGGCATTTTTTTCTGCTCATTTTTGGGTGCCTTCTGGAAGTAAGGTATCATATCAAAAGTAAACATTTTCCTATACTGAAAATGTATTTCCGATATATACTTACCTCTTCTCTCATATCCAGTGCATCTTTTGTGCCTAATCTTGAAGTGATGATGGTGCTTTACAGTATAAAGTGTGTCAGATGCACTAGGAGGTTGTGTCACATTCTAATTGATGGAGGATTGTTGCATGCTTCAGTGCAGCTATACCACAAGACATTATGTGAGTGTAGGTATGAGCATCAAGGCTAGTGGCAAGCAAAAATTGCACATATAGAGGGCAGCACAAATCAAGAAAAGCTATTATGTGAGAAGAGGTATCTATCTATCAGAAATGCATTTTCAGTTTAGGAAAATGTTAACATTCCTGTAGTATTTGAAGTAACAATATTATCACCACAAACCAAGCAATTTCATTGACTAATGATTTAAAGCAGGAAAACTAAACATTAACTTAAAGGATATATTTGTATAGGAGGAACTGCTTATTCTGTTAGAATAACGATGTTCATCAGCCATATACACTTGATTATCAAGCAGTTTTGAAAGTCAGAGAGAGAGAGTGGAGAGCTTTTCTGATGGGTTTGACAAATTTATTGATATCTTAGGAGTTAGGAGGTTCAAATTTTAGATTATTGTTTGTAATTATATATAATTTGTTTCTAATTGATTGAAAACTGCAGTAGCCTATTTTTGATGTCACAAAATTCTGAATTACAGAAGGCTCAAATGCATAACATGACACAGTAAAATGAAGACTGGGAATTTTTGAAATATTTGTTTTTCAAATTAAGAACTTAAAAATGCTATACAAATTTGAAATATAAACTACATTTTCATTTCAATTTTATTGACATGCATTCATAATAAAATGAAATGTAACACCACAAAAGGTGTAAAAGAACCTAGCCCAGATGTGAAGGGTTAATTGGTTTTGGATATTAAGTTATTTCTACCTTTAAGGATGTTTTTTGTAGAGAGTAATTTGTGTTTTCTGTTCTTTTTTTATTAAAGTATCACATTTGATAACACTAGTTACTTCTGGAGCTTTCTCTCTATCTTATATGGAAAATGAGTGATTTCACTCAATTTATTTTATTCAGCTTTTCACAGTTACTGGTGTAACAGAAAAATTAAAATTACTTAACCTAATGCAGTATTTGAACGTACATAAACAAGTTGGTGACTTGAGAGTTAATATATTTATCTTTGTGTAACAGGTAGGAACAGGGAAATTATTTTACTATAAAAAAAAGAATCTTTTGGTTTTGATAAACTCAACTCCAGTAATTCACAACATTTTTAATTGAAAATATCTTTAAAATGTGTGCTATTGCTGTCCAATTGACAGATCCAATAATTCTCTTGTTTTGACAAACACATGATCACCACCCTAATCTGTAAGTAATTATTTCCCCCATACAGCATTTAAAAAAATCTGTTTTCCTTCACTTTGCCTAAAGTTCAATTGTAGTGAGATTCACTGCAAAACAGAAAGAAAAGAAACTATAGCTCTTAATAGACTACATTATTCATAAAAGAAAGATGTTTGGGTGACTTCCAAACTACCTTTCAAATTACTGAAAGCCTTCAAGCAACTGTTATAGGATGATTTTACTTACTGTATTGTTTCTAGGTGATTTGAAATATCTGACAGGTTTTTAAAACTTCAAATTGAAGTATGGTGCTGAAGTTTATAGTTATTGAAGGCTTTGTTAGAATAAATAAGGTGGATAACAATAATTACAGAAACACTTTATGAAACTGAGTGCTAAAACTACTAAGGTGGTTATTTGGTGAAGCAAAGTGCTTGAAAGAAATTAGGTAATTATAAAACCCATTTTCATGAAACTGAATGCTATAACCAAGACACAGAGCTTTAATTGCACTAAAAATTGCATTATATGCCAAGGCATTGGTTTCCAAACTAAAGTATGTGAAGTAGTCTCAGATGGGCCTAACACATGTAAAAATATTCCCTGTAAAACTTCCCTGACACCAGACACAGCTATATTTTCAGCAAGATTTTCATTCTGTTTATTGTGGTAAGTATAACAACTCAACTTTTATTAGACTTGAGATTTTTTTTTTAAAGAACAAATTGTAATCCATATAAGGAACCTAAGAGTGGCCATTATTTACAATTTCTATTCAATCATTAGATGGGGATCTTCAGCCAAGGTAGTAAGGTCTTGGAAAGGGTGTCAAGCTAAAAAGTTTGGACCCCTTACACTAATGAATAAAACTTTATAATTGCTGAACGTTTGAAGAAAGTCTATTCAATTGTTATAATAACATGTACCATTTTCAGCAATGGAAACCCTTACAAATAAGATAATGAGTTATTTCTGCTTCCATAAATGCACTGCTGAATTACAAAAATACTTAGCACTCACAGAATAAGAAGTATAGTAACCGAGGAATAAATCAGATACACGTATATGGCTGCTTTTCAGTTAATTTTTGTATTATATGTCTTTAATATGACATTAACTTTCCTACTCTAACTGTAAAACCAGTACATGTAGATTTACATTCATTTTGTTTGTTTTTTTCATTCTTTATGATTTATTGTTCTACAAAATTTTAGACATAAATCTTGAGTTAAAGTCAAACACATAAAAATTTGATTTTGAAATAGTCTCCTTGTTATTGTTCATGATTTATTTAGGTTACAGTCACCTAACTTTATCATAGTGAAAGAAATATCAACATCAGTTACTGTTTTTATAATTTTTAGTGTCACACCTTCAACTAAATATGGTAATCGTACTACATCTGGAGATATTGTTAGCTTGTTTGGTAGTGAAGGGGATTCAGTATGGAAGTCAAGCAAACAACAGAGATGCTCTATAAAATATTATGATGAGGAGAATTCCCTCAAAGAAAAGTACTCTTACATGTTTGAGAAGTTGCGGGAACGAGCCAGTGTTTTGAATAATTGTATTGAAGATATGACTGCCTTTCTACAAAAGGAGCATAAGGTCGAAGAGTGGTCACACATACGTCTTCCCATGCCAGTACGTAAAAGAACTAGTTGTAGCTTGTAATTGAATGTTTATTTTTATGCATAACATATAAACTGATAAACTCTGCCAAAAGCTTTTTGTCATAAATAATGAAAACCTTTTAGTTAATTTTGAAATAACCAAATCATATTTTACACATTTTGAGAAGAAACACAACTTGAATTCTTATGTTTCTTTATTCTGTTGTTACCTGTTCTATTTTTAAAGCAAATTTACTATAACATTTTTATGTAACATATAGTATGAGCAGTGAACAAACCACACATCTTTAATTCTTATTTGTGATTTTAAAATAGGAAGAAATTACTGTAGTGGGAAGAGTGGTATGTGATGGTAATGGTAAGCTTAACACAAGCTCATTGATGTTAGAAGGCTCCAGAGAAACATGTTCTGGTCAAACTGTTCAACTGGATGTTAGTAACTTAAAGGAGTATTCCTTCTTTCCTGGACAGGTAAGATTCAACAAACAATGAAAAGGTTATTATTTTTTAGTAATACTAAAACAGTTTATTAACAACAGTTAATTTTTTTAAGTAAGGTTTAATCCCAATGAAGATATATTGTAGTAATCTAATACCTATATTAATTTACAGACCCAAAAACAGTTATAACATGGCTGGAAGATGAAAAAAAAAAGGTTTAAAAAGCTCTATGGTACATAAAGTATCTTGGTGTTATGTAATACTTAATATTTAATAACTAGATGAGAGTGTAGGTTTTAAGCAGTTATGTAAACTAGCTGGATATATGCTATGGTGATGAAACAATTATTCTGCTTGTTGTTGGAAGTTTTGAAGTATTATTGAATTATGATATTGATTAAGTAAATATGCAGATTAAGTTAAACATTAAACACGGATGGATTTGAACTAAAAGGCTTGGATCCTTTGCTTCAACAGATCTTAGCTGCACGAGGAATCAATAGCCAAGGAATGAAGCTAGTACTGAAACATCTTTATCAAGTAGGTTGAAATTATTGAATAACAGAATTCTTTAATGCAACATTAGAAATTCTTTTTCCAAGTTGTTGATTCACTGGACCAGTATCTTGGTAATTTTAGTGGTCCATGCAGTTTATATTGTGCTCCGTAGCTAGATCTAACTACCAACACAAGTGGTATATGTACAGGCAGAAGCTTTCACCACCTTAATATCCTCCTATATACTTACAAATTTGTTTTTAGTTAATAAAACCTATCTTTGAAAAGTAATATAAATAATCATACTGGATAAAATGGTTTATGAATTTTTAGATAACATCAAACATTTTCAAGAACTCATTTGTTACTTTACTGATAGAAAATGCTACACAAACTTCAAAAAATAAGTTTAAGCTAAAACTTTAGAGCAAAAATTGTGTTTTTAAAAATCTTTAAAATACAGTATGTTTAACCTTCAATATCTGCAGTTCAAGTGTATGGAATAAATAGATTCTGACATAAAGATTATTTAAGAAATAATACGTATAATGATATAAAACAAATATATTTTTATTGGAAAAACTGAGACAGTAATTATCTCGATAGTGCCAGTCATAGATCTCCTGTTTTGTAATTTATCTTGGATGTCATTTCCAAAGCATACATACCTCTGCTGACACTTATAGCTATTTCTCAATCTCCATCCTCGCCATCTAACATTGTGTTTGCTTGCTCCAGTCTTTTATACCCTACTTGACTGCCCTCGGCAATATCTAATTTGCAAAACTTTACACTGGCCCTTACACGCCCTCTATGCAGGTACTGTATATGAGCACTGTATGCAGAAAATATCACTAAGAGCCAGTGTTAGTGACCGGGATGGGGTAAGTATCGGAAAAGTGATTATATTGTTTGCATACAGTGCTAATATACAGTACCTGCATAGAGGGCAAATTAGATATTGCTAAGGGCAGTCGAGTGTGGTATAAAAGACTGGAGCAAGCAAACACAATGTTAGATGTCAAGGATGGAGACTGAGAAATAGCTATAAGTGTCAGCGGAAGTAAGTATGTTTGGAAATACATTTTCAGATTAGGAAAATGATAACTTACAGCCAGATTGATTAGACTAGTTCTTAAAATAATGTATGTAAGTTTAATATGAAAAATGACTTATATGTAAAAAAAATCTAGTTGAAGTATCTTAGTTTCTTGCAAGTGGTTTATACCTGTTATCATAATGAATAAGCTCTGAATAGAAGAAAGCCAAAGATACTAATTAAAGCTAAAATAAAATATAATAAAACCAATTCTGTGGTGGTAATTAACAGTATTTCTAAAATCAAATTACATATAGTTATACAGTTCACAGAAAGACTGCTACTGGTATTATAATGTCATCCAGGTTAAGCCATCAGTATTAACAATATATTCCTGTGTAAATGCAGCAATGATAAATATGTTTTATGCATTGAGATTACATTTAACATGATCAATAAATATTTTATTGGATTTTTTGTTTTCTGGGAATATGATAAGGTAGAATTAGATAGTTCATTTTGCACTTGACCATAGCTAGTTTTGTTTTGATGACAAGGCCACTGTTTAGTAAGCTGTGTTTATATTATGTTTCTTGGCCTAAGTAACTGCTTAAATTATAAAATTACTGAAAATAAATCTTAAAAAAATATATATATATATGAATGAATATAAAAAATTGGTTTAAAACTTATTATTCATATTAAATGAAACATACCGATTAATAATTTGTAAAGAAATTGGCTTTCTAATAAACTTAGTTTTTGAATAAAAACTTTAATGGAAAGGCTTAAGGAATGTATGACAACATAAAAATCTTTTATTGAAATCTACAACAAAGGTAAAGCATCTTTGCACCCCAGTGGCTAAGCGGTAAATTTGTAGGCTTACAGTGCTTAAAATCAGGTTTCAATAACCTAAATGGGCAGAGTACAGATAGCCCATTGTGTTACATTCTGCTTAACAACAACCAATCCTTTCTTAAAATATTTGGATCACAACAAAATCTTTTTGGCTTTCAAAGCAGCAAGTTCATACATCATCATTAGAAACAAACTAAGAAAAACTATGAAAACATTGTGTGAGTTTCCAATATGTTATTTACTTTCTGCTACATTTAGGATAATTTTAAGCAAAATAATTCTAGATGAGATTTAGAATAACAAAGGACGTGTTCCCAGTGAATGATTTTGTGGAATTATTTTGTATCTAACAGCTTTTATCGGAGGAAGTATTTGGATTTCTGAAATGTTGAATCTCATGTGTTGTTCAAGAAGTATTGTGGTATGCAGCCATACCATGCATTTTGTACATTCTTATATTGTTAGAAATTTTCAAAATTTTTACTTTATTTTGAATCTTTTGTAGTTTTCACATAACACATAGTCCAGAAAATTATTGTGTTGACTTGTTTCTAGCTGTCTTTGTTCCTTTTCTTGTTTTTTAAAGATAATGCCTGCTCCACGTATGGGGAATATTGCTTTAATGCTGCATGTTGTGCAAGAAGGTCAATGACAGCACTGTCTCTCATTTGTAGAGTAAATAATATCTAGAAGTTAGCACCTCTTCCATATGCTGAATGAGAATGATCAGTTATGTAGGTAGCACTAGTTGCTATAGGTAAATCTGATGTTTCACCATTAAATAAGAAACACTGAATGTAAACAGTCGACACAAGATATCAGGTTAGTTGGTTGACGGGAAGACATCTGAGGGAAGGAAATTTGTTGATCATTTCACAAGTCCAGTAGCAGGCTGTTGTCTAGAGTCCAGAAAGCAAGCATGCACACTGTGTTTATCTATGAATTTAGATAAGGATTGTTTTAATTTTGTATGAAACGTCTTATACAGTCTGTTTATTTCTTTTCTTGCACTCAGTTTACTTTGTAATTTATCCTGTCAATTGCCTTGTTATAAAGTAAGTACAAGATATTCTTTTATGTAAGTCACAAATCTGGAAAAATCTAAAAAACTCAGGGAATTTGGAAAAAAAAGGGATCAAAAGATCAGGGAAAATTGTCCTGTCCATTTTATCTCAGAATCTGGATGTGGTAGAAATGAATAAAAACCTTATAACCTGAGTGCTCTCGAAAGGTGGACCTTTCTTCTTCAGGAGCAAACTGTGGTACTTAGCTATGCCAATTATATATTTTAATATAATTTTGATCAGTCTGTCTGTTGTTTTACGTGGTGGTAATTATTTAATTCATTATATTGATTAATAGTTTAGATCATATAGTATTTTACAAACAAAGATACAACATTTTATTATTAGCTGTTTTCTTGTTTAAATATTTATTTCTGTAGTGCCGTTGTCTAAAGTAACTTATGTTCTGAAGTTTTATCACCCTTTCTAACCAGATTAGAAGTGTTAATTAGGTAGAATTATGAAGGAAGTTGGAATATCAGTGTTTCATACACGAACACGTGTGTAGATCTGAAACATCCTTGGATTTTGTATGGAAAATAATGAAAAATGTTTTTTTGAATAATGTAGCTGCCCTACTTTGTACATTTCTAATTCTGTATTGTGTTGTGTGGTAGATTTCTTATCTAACTAGTTTTCAACTTATCTCTAATGTTTAGATGTTAGCTAACAGGTACTTTATTACTTGATATTTATGTATATATTTATTTATTTTTTTTCATCAGAATGTTCCCTTACCATTTCCAGAATGTTCTATTACACAGAGTGAGAGGTCAGGTAGGATATAACTTCATTTTATTCTATTTTTTCAACTTGAAATAAGAAAGTGCTGAAAATAATTTTTTATTGAATTATATCTGTTTGAAAAATACAGGATTTTTCTTGTATGATGTTAGGTTTTGGGAGTACAATAATGATGGCAAACTATTTGGATGATTGAAATTCTTTTTTATTGAAAATCATTATAAAGTTTATTATATTCACTCATATACAATAACTTATTATTTATTGAAAACAAACTATATTTATTAGATATAACTGATCTTGACCAAGGATACTGTTGGTAAAAAACACAATACCTTGAGTGATTAAGGTTACAGTGATGCCATTTTGAAAAGTATCGTCCTAGGTCACTGATAAGCTCTTGTTACTGTTTCTTTTGATTTAAAGCCACACATGGTGACTACTTCAACTGGCAACATAAAGTGTCAAAATATATATGTAATGAATCTCAAACAAGTTGAGACTTACTGAATATATATATATAAAATAGAACTTTCTAATCAATAAAAAAAAGCACTTCTAAGGTGAAAGGAAGAATTTTAATGTTTTTTCAAAACAGTATCTCATGATATTATACTGGAAATTTCACAACTTAAAAAATTACTGAAATACTAAATCAAGTTATATGAATTTTTTAAAGAAGAAACTGGATACTAAGTATTGCAATTATTTAAGTATTTTCACTGAGAAAAAGAAAGCTAGGGTATATTAGTGACAACTCTGGTCTGGAAGGCTTAATATATTTTGGATTTTTCTTTTTGCATTTTTTTAGTTTGCTACTACCTATAAGCGGGATATTATTTTTGATTAGTCTGTTTAGAAAAGTATATGAAATGTGTGATGAGAAAAGCATTAACTTGCAAAATTTGTATGAATAAAAAAAGAAGCTATTTTTTGTGTAAATTAAGCAACTCTCTCCTTGTTTGCCTACATTAAAATTATGAATTATTATACTCCCTCTTTTTTTCAGAATCACTTCAACTGGTGGTAGCAGCTGGACCATTCACAACATCAGATACACTTTCCTATGAGCCTTTGCACGATCTCATTCATTATATTAAAGAGCATAAACCTCATGCTTGTATACTTGTAAGTTTATGAAGTGCACTAGAATTGCACTTTTCTATAGTTTAATGTAATTCTTATAACCTATTATTAATAATCTTCTGATAAAAAATAAGCAATCAATATAGATCAGAACTAAAAAGTAACTTGTAAATTAATGAAGCTAGTTCTATATAACAAACTGATAAGAAGTGTTTAATGTCATAAATCATTATACAAGAAAACTAAAACCCTATAATGATTAGAATTCCTTGATTTATTTTACTTTGAACAAGATTTTCAGTCATTATTGGCTGTTATGTATATCGTAAATGGGAGATTATGTTTAAGAACCTATAATTAAATTTACCTTAGAAGACAGTAGTATTTTTCTCATTTTGATTGTTGTTAATTAATGTGTATTACAAACGGGACACACTTTATTTATGTTTAGATCAGTATAATCGTTTTGCTCTTGTGAATACAATAACTGTGTTTTGAGTTGTGTTGCAGTAGAAATGTATGTGACTTGTTTTACAAGTTTTGCTTTTATTTTCCATGTTTAATGTATTTTTACAACAAGGTGTCTACTATTGGTTGTACATATTTTAAAACATGATAACTTAAATAAATAAAGATAGAAATGTGTGCTAACTTACATGCTAGCCCACCTGTCCTCATTTCAAAATGCCTTCATGTGTAACAAAGTACATACCGGTATAGCTTATTTTCAGGTTTTATACCACCTCCACATGTGATGAAGTACATACTGGTATAACTATCATCAGGTTACCACTTCTACATGGGATAATGATCTACCTATTCTCTGCTTTTATTGCTTCTATATGTAACATATGTGCTGGCCTACATGCACTGAGGTTTAATACCACCTCTGAGTGATCTAATTTGGCTTCAGCACACCCTGAAGGTATCTTTGATATTTTTCAAACACACTGACAAGCATACATTCTGGAATTGCATTAAGTATTAACTGTGGAAAGCACAGTACTCTGGATAATGATCCTACTTGAACCGTCAAGCACTTCCGTAGGACATTTTAGCGTTTTATGGACACAAAAGCAAAATTGAATGGTGCTTTAACTTGCTATTAGAAGTGTACCAATAAAACCATTAGTTTCCAACAGGACTATGTATTTGAGTCTGATAAGTCAGTTACTGAAGTGAGTTTTCTTATTTATGTTCCTTGAGCTGCTTGTGTCATCAGTTAATTGCCTTTTTGATGGTGCTCATGCTCAAGAGACTTATCAGAATTGGTGTTGCACAAAAACAATAGATTAATCTCCCATGCCACAGGATGGTCGTGATATTGTCAAACAATCATCACTTTGGCACTATTTTTTAATAAGATCTTAAATCTTAGCTTAAGCCAAAACTGGTAAGATGAAATCAAACTTAAGAGATTTTTTACTAAAGTGTGCTTTAGTGCATGTTTATGTCTTTCTTCATTTAAAAGTTGTTACATTTCAATGTGTAACACCATTAATGTATATCCTTTCTAAACTGTAATTCGGTTGGGTTCATTTGTCAATTTTATAGAAAATGAAAGTAAATATTTTAAAAAAAAATATTAGGAATTGTCAAGATTAAACTCTGTTGATAATGATAGGAAACAGATCATTTATAGAAAGAAAATTATTATGTTATCTAATATCTCAAATATAAAACCTTTTTATATATTACATACAAGTTTCTGTAACATAACTTAGTTTATGGATGTAAATTCATCTCACTTGTATCCTTTTTTAGATTGGTCCATTTGTTGATGCCAAACATGAAGAAATTGAGGTATTTAATGCTTTGAATTATTTATATAAAATATTATTTTACGCTAATTGTGTTTTCACATTTATCTTCATTCTCGTAAATTGAACTATATGCTTGATGAAAATTTGGGAATCAAGTCTTTGTTAGATGAGCTTTTAATTGCCACTTCTAAGTTAGAATTTGGATAATGTTTCTGTTTATCAGCATAAAATTGATTATTTGTAGATAAGTGCACTTATGAATCAAATGTTTTTTTTTAAATGAATAGAAAAAGGTATCTGATATTATATAAACTTAGGCAGGTAATTTTCTGGTTGAGAAAAGTATTGGGGTGTTGTTATAATTGCAGCAAATGCAAAAAGTTTCTAAGGGATGTCTTAAAGCATGTAAAATAGCACAACTCAAGCTTTTGTGGGTCTGTCCACTCTAAATTTGCATGTGAACTCTCTGACATACTGCTGCTGTTTTTAGTCATAATGTCATGGGAAAAGGAAGTCACAGATCTGTTAAAAGAAATTAATTGATATAGTGTTGATGGTATGATGAATGGCCAAAGCATTTTAGCCTTTATTCTCGTCTCTAAGTCTAGTAAGGGTAATGTGCTGAAGAAATGGAAGACCACAATGTGTGTTTTAATGTAGAGTATCTGCAAACTATTTTATATTAATCATTCTTTGATCCAGTCAAACTCTTGAAAAGTGTTATAAAATGACACATCTGTCATTAAATCATCACCCATGTTCAGAGTTCAAGACAGTAGGCTGGCACATGCACTGTGTATACAAAGAACTTCATACTGCTTGACTTCACAAATTAATTGAAGCCCAAAAGTAGATTTATCATAGCAATAAACATGTTGGATCTGCCTTCATGATTCTTTGGTGAATTCTAGCTGGTTAGTGTTTTTTTAATGAACAGATCTTGGCCTGATGGCGAACTGAATAACAATTTGGATATGAATGTATCATTGAAATTATGAAGAATGATGGAGCTTATTATAGTTGGTTAGAGCTTGGTCTTTTCATTTTTTAGGAACTCTTTAGGGAAGGACTGTAATTCACTCAGCATAATATCATAACGTGACACACAACACGCTCTATTCAACTGTGTTTTGAAAGTAATAACACCCATAACCTGTCTTGACCAGCTCAGATTTCTAAATGTAATCCAATAAGTGGCAAATGTTAGTAACAAAGTTCATGCTGTTACGAACACCAAAGATGGGCCCAGTCCTTATTCGTGTATGGGTCCAGCTGCAAAACCTGACACACACACCCTTCCTTTTTCAAAATATTCTCTCCCAGTACTTTTGGTAGTATAATGTTTATATAGTTTGAAAAAAAAATACAGAAGTAAATAATGTAATGTCCCTTGTGTTTTTATTATTGTATAATTATTCCTTAAACTTGTCTTTAATTTTATATAAATATATATAGAAGATCAACAACTGAAGTAAAAGTAATATTAAATCTAATATTATAGGTACAAGATGGACTTTTTAGTAGAATTTTACATTGAAAATAGGATAACAATATATATGACTTGCAGCATGAAATAATATTGTGATTTGGCTGTCTTAAGGTTCTTTGAACAAGAGTAAGCATCAGGTTTTAAGTTTTTCAGTAAGTAGTTTCATGAAGTTCAGGAATCTTAGACAAAAGTTGTTGTTCATGATAGTATCTCAAGTCTTTGAAGAAAAGTTGTCATGAGTTAGAATAAATCTTAGTTCTTGTTTGGTGTGCCTTGCAGATTTGATATTATCTACTCTGCAGGAAAAATTTGTCAAGATATTTATTGTTTCTGATAAAAAATTATAATTCATTAGCACTCTGGTTAGAGTCTTTGTCATTTATTGTGTGTAAAAACTGTGTGTGTGTATATAGCAAAAGATATTTTGTTTTATTAAGGGTTAAGTAAATGATAATGAGAAAGTTTTTGGATTCACTAGTTTGTATTGGACAGAAGTGTTGATTCCATGACCTAAAATGAAAGCCTGTATAGTCAAGTAGGTTTAATAAAAAATCTATAGGTACCTGCATTGAAAAGAAGTTATTAAGATGTGATTTTTAAACTAAGTTGATAAAGTCATCAGGATTTTTATTACTTTCACCAGGTAGCTTAAAAATGCCATCAAAACTCTGGATAATACCAGAAAAAAAAAATTTGAGATTGTTCACTCTTTGACCCAAACTACAAATATGTTGGTAGGATTTGACCTCTTCTCTGAATCCTTGTCAACTCCCCTGACATCTCTAAAATAAATCAACAAATGCATTTTAAATATAGTTCTGAAAGTATGGTGCTTTAGAAAGTTCATCAGAGCAATTAAACTATTATTTTTAGGTATGATTTTATACACTGTTCCTTTTTGAAAATAAATCTTTCAAAACTATCAAACTGGGAGTCCTATAAAAACATTAAATGCTTAATTAATGACATTTATAAATTTTTGAAGAGAAGTTTCTAATAACCAAAAAATGCTTTCATAAAATACCAAGATATGAGGTAAAAGATGATAATGAATTTAAACATTCTTAATTTTTAATGTTTCTTAGGAAACAGATAAAAAATAGAATAGACTAGTTTAAACAAATCATGGAATATCTAGTAATCCTGGAAGACTAATGGTAAAGGCATATTTAGCCAGTTATTTAGCTAGTTATCTGTATGTTCTGTAAGTACAAAGTTTTAAATTAAACTGAGTTACAGCCTCCTATGTCAGCCTCCTTATCCAGATTCATTAGAACTATTATCAAAGCTATTTTATCCCATTTTTATAATTTCAAAAGACATAATATTGTTGTTTCAATTGTTTGCGTTAAGAAACAATGTTTATAATGTTGGTTGTAAGTTGTAATATTGACTGGAAGATGGCTGACATCTTGTTAGGGAGAAAATAAATCATATTTCAGTTAAAGTGATACTTTTTTATTAGTCAATGCAGTAGAAAAATATAACTTAAAAGATTATCATAGCCTTAAATTAAGAATTTAATACTGTATGTTTAACTGCAATTATTTAAAAGTGTACCTTGTAGGCTAATAAACTCTTTGTGTCCGTATTTGATAGACATCACTGCATATAACTAGAACATTCATAGATGTGTACTCTGTAAAAAATAGCCACAGTATTTGTAGATGCTTTATAATATGCATCTTTTTCTTAATACACTTTTACAGAGGGTTATACAGTCACTACTTGAATGACTTTAAAAAAAAATCACGAAATCCTAAACTGTTATGAAGAACTACCATCTCATGATAATTAAACTACTTTCTTTTACATAACAAAAATTAAGAGAAAATGTAAAAAGTTGATCATTATGAATTGTTAATAAAAAATTTTAGTTTTCAATGTTGTTAAAATTATTGCTTCTTAAAATATTTCCATTATTCTTTAGAAAGGAAGCATGAATGAAACGTATGAAAATTTTTTTGAACAGCAAGTAGAGTCCATGGCACTTTCATTGGAGGAGTAAGTGTATACTTTTTCTTTATGATGTTTTAGTATCTAATGTATATGTTTCTTCATCACTGTATTGTTATGTTTGATTGTTTTGAATTTCATGGAAAGCTACTCGAGGGCTATATGTACTAACTGTCCGTAATTATGAAGTGATAGACTAAAGGGAAGACAGTTAATCAACATCACCCACTGCAAACTTTTTGGCTACTCTTTACTGTCAAATCATAATGCCCTCATAGCTGAAAGCAAGAGCATGTTTGGTAATAGGATTTGAACTCTTAAACCCTCAGATTACAATTTGAGTGCCGTAACTTCCTGACCAAATTATTATGATATCTTAAAAATTACACGTATTACACTAATTAACTAACTAAAACAATATACCTAACTCTGCTCAGCATAATTAACTGTAAAGATGTTCTTTGAATTTGTATTTGTTACTAAAATATGTATGTTTGTTGTGTGGCTCAGCTGTGATTATATTTTTGTGCTTTAAAATTAGCCCAATTTTTTTATTTTATGTGTAAAATATATGTTCCAAGTTTTAATTTTATTTTTTACAAACAACTATTGTAAAGCCACTGATAGTCATGCGGGGTTTAGTGAAAATATAAAATTTTTGCTGTTAAGCACAAAGCTTCACAATGGCTATTTGTAGTGTGCCTACCTCAGGGTTTGAACTTTGTATTGTAGCAATATAAACCCTTAAATGTACCACCGAAGCACTGAATGAGGGGTGGGGACTTTAAATTATTGTGGCTATACGTAATTGTTCGTAAGCTTTCTTTACTTCAGTTATTGTTGTTACTGCAACTCCATAAGCACTTTTGAGGAGTTTTATTCAACGTTTTAAAATTAAATTAATAGCCGATGTTTGCTTGTTTTGATTTTTTTTTAAGTTTCCTTCAATAACTTTTGCTATTCTTAAAATTCTTGGAAAACATTTAATGAGTTATCTTCAGCTTTGCTAAACTGTTTTTATTATTGACTTTACAGTACTGGAACACAGTTAATTCTGGTGCCTTCTATTCGAGACATTCACCATGAGTTCATTTATCCAACACCTCCATTTACTGTCAGAAAACAGTTTGAAGTAAGTAAATATTATTACAGTGGAGTATAATAAATGTGTTGTAAATTTGTCTGTTGGATGTCATTGTTTGATGTAGTGTTAAAGTGATAAAATCAGTACTTAAAACACTGGGCCTAAAATGTTCTCACAGTTTCTGTATTAGAGTACCAAAGAAGCTTAAAAATAGGTTTAGGTTTCATTGATAAGCTTGAATTCAGAGTCACATTTGAGTATGGCAGTGATTAAATAATTTGTGAGAAAACAAACCATTGCTAGTTATGTAACTTAGTGAGTGAGCTACTGCTCATACTTTGCTCTGTTGAAATTATTATTCAAGGATAATTGTTTTAAATGCTTGTAAATTCTTATGTTTTTATAGTGAGACAAAAGTGGACATTGTTGTAATTATGTTTATTTTTATTTAAATTATCTGTTTTGATATCTGAATAGGTCAAAGCGTCATGAAGTTGTTCTTTTTCATTAGGAATGTTTGTTACAGCATAATTGTGTTTCTTCACTACTTAATCAAGTTTTTAATTTTTCAGTGAGTCTGTTTGTCAGATTAAAAGAATCAGAAAGCCAAATACATAATTTTCAAAAGTTATAATGTGTATATTAATGTCTATTATCAAAGTTAGCTTCAACAAGGTGACCATAAACTTCAAAACAACCTCAAAATGGGAGGGAATTTGAAGAAAATAAGAGGTCAAAGGTTCATGGAGACTGAAAAATTAACCAAATTTCTGAAAAAAATCAAGGAAAATTGTGCCCTTCTCGCTTTTTTTTTGTTATTATTTGAGTGCCTGCATAAGCACATAAGTCATGCCAGTTATTGATATATTCTAATATAATCATAGTCACTCTGTTATTTTATCTTGTGATTAACCCTTTTGCAATGGGTTGGTCAAAGTGCACGTGTGTGGTAGTTGACAGCAAAAAAAGAGAAGACCCAAGTATCTGCTATATTTCTTGTTTTTCATTTGTATTCTTTATTTATTATTATAAAAGTAACTAAAATGTAAAAATTAGAAACTTATTAGGTAAGATAAAGCAAGATAATAAATATTCTTCATGAGATATGCTTGTGAGTAGCTCGTGCATTACGTAATTTAATAGGGTAACATGAGCTATATGTTCACCAGATAATTTACAACTTGTGTGGCAGGGTTATTGCTTAGACACAGTTCAAAAGATGATAAAACAATAAAATTAAGTGTATATAGATGTATACTGTTTAAAGCTTTAAACTATTTAGGATAAACATTTGTTGTTTCCTGTTACAATTTGCAGTCATTCCAGAAAGAAAAAATAGGGTGATTGAAAAGTATTTTTTATGGTAGTTACAAGATCAGCCAAACTGTCCGAGCTTGTACAGAGCAATAGTATAGAAAATAACAGATAAAATATGAAGTTTTTCTGAAAAAAAAACATTTTATGTTTATTTAGAAGATTTTAGGAATTACACAAATGAAATTTGAAAATTTTCAGATGAAGAAAAGTGTTTTTTAAACTTACAGTAAAAATCACTTTGCATTTGGAGCAGTCAACACTGACATCATAAAGTTTTAGTAAAAATACTTAATTAAAATTTTGATTATTTTGTTGACAAACGACTTTTAATATTTACTGAAAACTTGCCAAATTTTGTGAAGATACATTAATTATTTACATGGTTACATGATGGTTAGGAGGTTGTGTAAAATACACAAGCCTGTTGCGATAAAATTAAATAATTTGTTATATTTGATGATATGTTAGATTGTATATTCTTTTATAGATAGAAATAAATTTTATTTTCTACCATCAAGTTACAATGTCCTTCTTTGAATCTAAACAGACAGTCATTCAATGTTCATGGTTATTATAGCTTCAAACTTAAAGATGTGTTCTTTACCAGAGCATTCACTGCAAATCTTATCAAAAAAGTTTTGTAACCATTGATGATTGGGTCAATGCAGCAACTTCTATCTTTGGTAAGATTGTTCTCTCATCTTTTCCAGAATATCCACTATGTATCTGATCCAAGTTTATTAAATATTGACGGTGTTGTCATTGCTGTAACATCAACAGACATTCTGTTCCACCTGGGGAAAGAAGAAATATCTTTGTGAGTTGTTAGTCACATTATTAGGGAATCATTTTTAGAAATAATTGAGAAAATAACAATTTCAGTTTTAATATATGACAGAGGTGTTTCTAAGTTCTCCATGATTATTTTAAAATGAAAATGATACAAGATATATCTGTATTAATATATTGCTGACATAGTCTTTATAATTTGTGTTGGTTTATTTTGTCTCATAGTTCTTGCTTGATATTTTTCTGTAAGATGACATTAAAAATTAATATTCCTGTTTTAGCCGTCCTGGAACTTCTGATCGACTTGGTCGTCTAGCTCATCACATTTTATCTCAACATTGGTAAGGATAGCGGCATATATTGCCTTCTTTGTAACATTCTAACCCACAAAAGATTAACATTGCTTACAAACCCTTTCACTTCCTATAGGTATAAAACATTATCTTGTATATCTTCTTGCTCCTATATTTTAATCGGCATAAGATAAAAAAGAAAAAGTAGGTGAAGTGGTGGATACTGACAACCAGCTGCCTTACCTCTAGTTAGCAGTTCAACAATAACAACAAAAAAGAAGGTTGATGGCAGATGCTGACAACCATTTGCCTACCCCCTAGTCAGCAATTCAAAATTAGTCACAGTGACAGATAGTGTTGCCAAAACAAAGATACGATGAACATGTTTGATGACAATATTTTGTTTACCTGGATAGTTGAAATAATCAAAAATAATAATAATTAGATACCTTAATTGGATATAGTTGATTACAATTGTAACAATTGATTTATTTGTAATTTTGATTAATTGATTGTTGGAATAACTGAAAATAGTAATAATCAGAAGTACTAATCTGATTAGTTCATTATTTTTGTGATAGTCAATTTAATTATGAAATTTCCATTAATTGATAAATTTATGTGACACTAATCGATGCAATTGCTGCTCTTTGATTATTGATTAAATTGCCCAGCTCCCCAACTCTAGAACCAGCCAGGAAGAGTGCAATAAATCCAAAATTCTTTTGTGTTTACTCTGCCTAAAATACCCTTGCTATTTGAATAGGATGTTTACCTCATCTGCAGTTATGCTTATAGATATTAGTGTTGAGGATCAGTTTTGAAGATGTTTGGTTTAAAATGTGTAATTTTTTATTCTTGACACCTCTGCAGTGGACTTTTTTTGTGGTATGATGTATTGAAGGACATGACCTCAATGATATTGTCGTTGGATAGGCCCACAATGCCTCATTTCATACCACTAACAGTAATTTTATTTTATTTTGTCATCTTTGAATTACTTGTCCATCAGTGGACTTCTAAATCACAATTACAAACTGAACACTTAATATCTCTATGTGAAACAAAAAGGTGTTAAAGATGTGTGTGTGTGTGTGCATGTATGTTTTCTCTGTTTTAAGTAGACTGAACAATCAGCTCTTAGTATCTTTAAATTCACCAAAAGACATAACAGCATTGCAATAAACTAAAACTTTAATCTTTAGCTTTTATCCACTCTACCCACCAACAGAAGAGATGTGTATAGACTATGAAAATTTTGAGTTGTTTGCTAAACTACCGGTCAATCCACATATATTGATATTGCCCTCTGACCTCAGGAATTTCATAAAGGTAAGGATGAGCTTTTAAACACACTTGTATTTTGCTCTTTGAATTTTGTACACTTTGTCTAGTGTTTCTTATCTGTTCATTAGACCATTCAGATATACTTGCCATTGGTTCTTGCATTACAGTTAAGTCCACAATAAAATCTAGAAATATACACAATATCAGTAAATAATAGTTTCTAAAATATAATGATGTTTTGGAGATTTTATTTATCTTTTCATAGATGTAGTTTTTAAACCTCAACATTAATGTATGGAAGAACTAACCCTCTCGCTACGGGTCTTCCTATGGTCAGGGGTCAAAGGGCATGTTATCATGTTTTTAAACTTACATTAAAAATTTTATTGATCTACTATTTTATGAATGCATGCCAATAAATTTGGTATCACATTGTAAATTATAATTCAAATTTTAGTATTATACATTAGTTAATGTCTTAAATATAAATGTTAAAACAAAATTCCTAAATATCAATTTTTGTGTGTGTCACATCGTATGTTGAATGTAGCTCTGGTTCAAATTAGATGTTTTTGATGCCCAAATACAAATTCTACAGTTTCTTATGAACTACAAACTCAAATTACCAATATTGTCAAGCTAGAATATGAAATAAGAACCTCCTGTCTTTTCTATTTGCTGAGATATCACTACATTTAGCAAATCAAACACAGTGGGCCCTGCCCACCTCTTTCATTTTTGGAAATACTTGCTTATGTACACCTACTTCTGTCTATGACATGTGAATAACCAAATGAAAGTCAGAATCTTCCCCATGTGGTTTTCTCGGTCTCTAGAAGGGGTAAGTGAAAATGTTGTCCGACAAGCAATTTTTATTTATTTATTTTTATCTAAGTACAGTTTAGTTAGTAAGCCTGATAAATAATATTTGGTTATTTCAAAATGCATATATAAAACCCATAGAAATTATTTTGCTTTATATCCTTCACATGCAAAATTTGGCAAGGCTCAGCAAATTACGGCAAGCAGGCAATGAGTACAAAGTTTGTAAGTAGAAAAAATAATTGTTTTCTATATTTCATTATTTACTGTTCTATGTTTTGAGAAAAATAAATGACATTTAAGAACGTATTTGTAAATAGTAATAATATATATACACGTGTAATGTATTATAACCAAATGTGACTGTATTTTACAAAATACTGATTCAATAGAACAAACTAAAGACAGTTCACCTTTTAAAGGGCATGTGCCATATCATTATACCTTCTGTAATGTTCAGTTAGACACGACTGAAAGGTCATTAAAATAAAAATAATAAATATCTTTAGATGTATAATGTTATGAGACTTAAGCTATTTATACTAAACACTTGTGGGATCTTGCTATAATTTGTAATCATTCTAGAATAAAAAGCGTAATTTATATCTATTTTCTAATTTTTATGTTAGTTACGAGGTTGGTCAAATCGACCAAATCCATACAGAGGTATAATAGTGAAAATAAAAGATAAAATATGAATTAAAAAAAACGTTTAATAATTATCTGGAGGTAATTAGGAGGTTATAAAGATTTTGCATGTGAAAAATTACAATTTTCTAATGGATGAAAGTATTTTTAATCTTAAAATCAAAATTACTTTGCATGTTGGATAGTCAACATTCAAAAAGAAAAAAAACATGAGCAAATCATTACTTAAAAATCTTTAAACTCAATAAAAAATCTGATATTTTGTATACTAACACCTTGTAATGTTTACTGATAATCTGCAAAATGTTGTGAAGATATGCATACTATATTAAAAGTTATAGTATGAAAACTATAACAAGCACAAAATGGTTTCGAGGTTGGTCCCTGGAACTGAGCCTGTAGTGAGAAAGTTAAAGAGATTGTGCTTGAAATTCAGAACAAATAAATATAAATGCCATTAATCAAATTGTAATACATCTGTCTCTATACAGCTTCCTACTTTGAAATATACTTAAACATCAGATAATTATGTTAAAAATCAGATCCTATTAATTACATATTAAACTAGTAGTGAACAAAAATTCACTATATTAAGAATGAGTGATTTTGTACTCAGGCTTTATCTGTTAAACATTAAACAGACAACATGTTAGACATTGATTTATTCAATACTTAAAAGACAAACTACTATTTTAACAATATATCATTATGATAAAATTATTAATAACTTCTGATCAAATATAAGCTAACTAATGATTAGATTGTGTACCTTCTCAATTATAAATATTTTAGATATAATGACAATAATATCACAAGATTTGGCCAGTTTAGGAGGTTTAGATTAGTCCTGTATTTTGGTACGAAGCTTATAGTACAGGATCAACTTCTTTAATACAAAAATTAGGAATAGTAACTTATTCAAACCTTATAACCAGTAACATTATGCAAGTACCTTTGAAGAAAAATAATGTGTCAGACATTATTTTCAAGGTAACACAACTGTTTAAATTGATCAAATATTTGCAGTAATTAATGTATTAGTTTTTATAAAAAGGAAATATGTTACAAGTTCATTGGAAGTTAATGATACTGTATATGTATGTAGCTTACCGTTTTCTTTTTATGTAATTTACAGAACGTTGATGGATGTTGTTGTATTAACCCTGAACGACTGACCAAAGGACTTGTCGGTGGAAATTTTGCACGTATTCAAGTGGCTCCACTTAATCCTTCAGAATCAAGAAGTTCAATAATTTCCAATATTAAAGCAGAAATTGTGAAAATTTAATTTATATTTTTCCTATTTGTTTAGTCATGAAAATTGGTTGTCTATGAATGTATCTTAGCTTAAGATTTAATTTTCATAAAATTATGTGGGTCTGTATTGTTTAGACTAATCATTGACATTACTTATTAACTAGTAAGAGCCAGGTAACTTGTATGATAATATAATAATTTTCATGTAAATCTATATGTATTAAAAGCACACAATAAAACACCAAAGTGTTGATTTGGTTCAGTATTTATCATACTTCATTAAACATAATTTCCAGAGCATTTATTCTTGCTATTGGAGGAGTTTTATACTTTCACATCTGTAACTCTTAATGTTAAGCACTGTATTTAGAAGAGTAATATTTAATATTTGAGCTTAACTTTTCAAATTAAAGATGTCAGAAAATCTGTACTCTTAAGGTAAAGTTTTATTTTACTAAGAATTCAAGGCTTAAAGCAGATTTTGCTTGTATTGATAAATAAAGGTATTCTGAATTTTTTCATCTCATGCAAATAATGAACATGGCCCAAGATACTTGGGGTTAGTTTTAAACCAGTTTCAGATCCTTGCACTGTTAATTTGTTTAAAAAAATATTTTTTAGAGCTGAAAAGTATGATGAAGCAAATTATAAATATATCATGAAAACACACTCAATCCAATAATTTGAAAGCTATCCAAAGTTCAAGCCTCACAGAAAATTTTCATATAGGGAAACAAACAGAACAATTTTCAAAGAGGTTTTGTTTTATTGTTATTTAATGTAACTAAAACTAAATTTCTATTGAGAATTATTAGTATGTTATTGTAATAGTTGAGAATACATTAGAAACTGTATACTCACAGTAAGAATTGCATTGTCATTTGGTACAAACAAAAAAATCTGCACCTTGTGTCAAATAATTAAAAACAACCTACTTTTTAATAGGTACAATCTGAAGAAAGAAATATTTTGTTATTTCTATTCCACGTAACTATATAACTACAAAATGAATACAAGTGTAGTTTTACAGATCCAATAACACACTGCTGATTTAATAACACCAATTGTTTGGAAGCAATTTTTAGCCATGCAAAGCATCTTAGTATGCACCAAAAAAGGAAGGGGGAGAGTTCAGTGGATTAAGTCTAGACAAGATATAGAATAGGGGAAAACTGTTCTAAACTTCTCAGTTGTGGTCTTTATATAACAGATAATATGGGGTCTGACATTACTGTGTTGCAAAAGTATATATAGAACTATATGGACATTGAGCTGTCAGTACCAACTCCAATATACTCGTATCCACTGTACAAGAAATAATACTTTTTTCTGAATATTCCTTTTACACAAGCATGAAATGAATTATGTTGAACGATCTGAAGCATTTATATGTTATCTATATGTTTATAAAATGCTGTATTTAATAATAAGTTTGTTTGTATGGCCTATATTAAAACCCATGAAATGTTCTGATGTTGTTGTAATGGTTTTTCTGCTTTTGTCTTATAACATAAAGAATTTTTGAATCATTCTACATTGCTGCAAAACTGGTTTTCTTTTTCTATAGTCTATTGTGTAGAAAATCTTAAGATCTTTTGCTGCAGCTGTAAAGTTAATTTTTGTTTTTTTTTATAAAAAGTTACGAAGCATTTTCCTGCACCTGTAAGGTCAGTTTGTATTTATTCTATAGAAGGTAATGAAGCATTTTGCTGCAATTGTAAAGTTTGTTTGCTATATACGAAGTTTGATAGGAAGAATTTTGCTGAAGGAGTAAAGTTGATTTATGCTCATTATATAGGAAGTTTAATATGAAGCATTTTGCTGGAACTTTTTATTCCATTGACCTCTTGCCAGCAAATATTCTATGAAGAGAAGCCCTTGGATCAAAGTATATTTGTCTATCTTCTCCATTCCTAATAACCTGTGATACTGCATACAAAACAAGTGACTTGATTTAATTGTCATTGCTTTTATTTATAGGATCAAATTGGTAAGCTTTGACTCCTATTTGTAGGGATATGTTGCTCGTCATATTAGCTGTCGTTTTCATTTCTGAAGCACATAGCAAGAATTTGGGGTAGTAGAACTATGGTAGAGTGTGTTTTATTTTGGTGTATGTATGTTTATGTTACACTTTAGAGTATATAGAAGTGATCACATGAGTCATGGAATTTATAAAGAAAAGATGGGGATTCGTTACCTAAATTATTTGTAATGTACTATACAAGTTTGTATTAAACATTAGTTTTCAAGCAACTCGGTTTCCATTTCAGAAAACCTTTTTTAAATTTTGTGAACTAATGCTGTTTTTCTACAAAAATAATTCATGTATTACAGTGGTGTGATCATGTGCAGTTTGCATACTAGGCGGGAATGGCATAACCATTGCAGTGGACCAATCAGAAATCGTAATTGATGTACCACTCACTTTTTCTTGTGTGCTTCCACTTGCATACAAAAGTAACGAGACTTGAAATTTTTGTTGGTAACAATCTAGAAAGCTTTTCTTAAATATAGTTCATAAATTATGAAATATTGACTTGACAACTATAACTGAAAACCAGATTTAAAAAATTGTTAAGAAAGTTGACCATACTTTATATATATATACTAGCTTTGCCTGACCCATCAAAAAAATGATGGGTTGGAGTTTAATAAAAAACAAAAAACCTGGGGCTCCCAACCTTCCTTCAGCATGCTTTTTTCACCAGACTTCCCCTTTCATCATAAAAGAAAAAGAATTATCTATTGAAAAAATAAGAACAATTTTGAATTACATTCTCAAAAAATCAGTAAGAATAGTCTAACTTAAATAAAAAAATTCCTCATATTAATGTTGCACACAAATTTACAAATGGCTTTTATATATACTAGACAAGTTATCTGGGGTAGTAATAAACAACTCTAGGCAGAAGAAGTCCAAGGCCTCACTAACATAATATCATCCGAACCTTGTCCTGTAACATCTAAGCAGAAATTGTTGAAGTATACCTGATTTATCTATTTAATGAAGTTCTCTTATTCTGGTGGCTCTGTCGTAAGTGAAAGATTTCACAAAGCTGATGTGACCTATGTAGTTAAGATAGCTGTTGCCCCTGTAAGCTGATGTGACTGATACAGTTAGATAGTTGTTGCACCTGTAAGCTGAGTGACACAGGTGAATGGAGCATTACCAAAAGACAACTAGCTTTTATATACTAGCAGAAACTCCCCCTAAAAAGGATTTTTTGGGAAGTACTGCATGGGAAAAGTTTTTGGATTGTGCTTATATAAACTGTAATATTTTATATATTTAAAGTTGTACCATTTATTGAAAAAATAATTTTTTATTAAGAACTCCATTTTTTGAAAACTATATTTACAAATTACATCAATAAAAATATTAATTATCAAACCCTCACATATGGTTCTACTGAAAGTAATGTTCTTGTTGTGAGGAGAGTACTTTTATATAAAATTGTGTTCTGTGATAAAGAAATGGTTGTTGGACATACCACAGTTATTTTTCTAATTGTCTGAATCTTTTGTTTGTGATGCCATTCAATAGATGACGCTACATTGTATTTATTATTTCAGTCACATACCAGATACATATATATATACATCCATTATAGTAAGATTAGATTAATTTGTAAAACCTGTCAATCATCAATTAGATTTGACTTACAGGAAAATTTGAGTGTTACCAAAGCTAGCTGGAAGTTTGTTAAGAGCATTTTAATAATGCAATGCTTAACTATAAAACTACTTTTCCTAATACATTCAACATTGTTACTGGACTCTCTCTATTAAATAATTTCACGTTAGGACAGATTCTGAATGAATTTGTTTACACTGTCCACTTGTTAAGTACTAGTTTTTTTAAATCTTCTATTTGATAATTATTAACCAAACAAAGTAGGTTTAATGAAATACTTATGCCTGTTGTTAATTGGACAGTAACATGAAGATGTTTCTGGGTCCTGGAAGATCATTCCATTCTGGAAAATTCTTGAAAAGTGTCCTGGAAGGTTTTATTGGTCAAGTATGTGAACTCTGACATAACCAAAGAAGCATCCTCATTCAGCATTATGGGAATTTCTCAACAAATTTCATGATGTACAGTCTCGGAGAAATTGCCTAAATTAACTTTGAACCCTGAATTATTTCTTTGTTTTCATTATTTCCTTAGGCTTTTGTAGCAGCAGATTTGAACAGTTTGTCCTGTAGAAATTATGGTTGTTGTTTTTTTTTTGGTTCATATATTTTGGAAAATTTGTGTCTTGTTGCAGCTTTCCTCATCTCTTTTACTTGGATGAGCTGCTACATTGTTGGTTAGACCTCCAAGCTTTATGACCAGGCAAAACCCAGCCTGGGATTTTATCCACCTATTCCACTTGAGATTTGGAATTATATATATCTTCTTTTGCATTCCTACAAAAATTGAGAGTAACTAATGCTTTGTTGAACTTCTTGATTGGGCTTGGGGATATTTCCTTAAACCAGTGAGTTTTGCCATTGTCATTTGAGTGAACTTGAAGATTTCTAATTTGTTATGGAAATTTATCTGTAAGTACCCCTATTGGTAGTTGTTCTGTACCAGAGTTGCTTTTAAACTCCATCAGTCAAAATCTCTTTGCTGTGTATTTAAAACACCATAATTGATTCTTATTGCAAATTGGGCAGGTGGTAATGGCTGTGGAGGTGGTTGTACCAAGAGAGATGGGTAGACCTAAGCCAATTCAGATATATTTTGTCAAAGTCTTGTGATGTGTTGCCTTGGAAGAACTTTATATTACTTCAAAGATTTTAGACTTCTCATCTCCTATGAGATAGATAATAAATTAAACCCTGTTAGTGGATGGAATAACCTTCCAAAATATGGCTTTATTCCAAAATTATTTTTTTATTTTTAAACTTGACTTATAGAACTTACAGAAGTGACATTCTGAGTACAGTGCAAACTTGTGGTGTTCTAATACTCATATGTTGTTGATCTTGAAATTATTCAAATTTTGTCACAAATTTTTTCCCCTTTCTACCTTTTCAAAGTTAGTGGTTATTGAGTATACAAGCTCTTACTAAATGAAATTGTTTAATCTAAAATAACCATAAGTTGAAATGCCAATTTTGGAACACTTATATTTCTAAGAATATGCAGAGTTATAAATCATAACCAAAACATAAGAGATAATACAAAATATTTTGTTCATTCGTTTTTTAAGTGCAAAGGCACATTGGGCTATCTGCTGTGTCCTCCAAAGGGAATCAAGCCCTGAATTTAGCATTGTAAGTCCGTAGGCTTGCCACTATCCAATTGGAGGACAATACAATATCTACAGAACAAATTTATAACTTAATGGACATTTTATGTAATAACTCGTCAAAATGCACAAAAAAAGGGAATTCACAAAGCCCTTGCTTCATATTGTTGAGGACTTGCATATTGCATACTCACTTGTCATGTTGAAATAACTATTTACTTTTTTATGCAGAAACCTAAGCACCAAGATCCAATCATACACACACACATAAACAAATTATCAAAGTATGTGAAGCCTTGCAAAACTGACTTTTGATAATATTCTCTTCTAAAAGGACATTGATTATTAGTTAGTTCCTCTGCCATCAGTCTCCAGATCACTACCATCACTTGTATCTTCAAATCAGAATTATTTTCCTCCACAGTTGAAATTGCCTAGATATTTTTTAATTTCTCTCATCACTGTGCATTCTTTAAATCTAAATTCCTAATCATTGGAAGAGATTACAGCTTTCCATTGTCATTCTGTGGTATTTTCAGGTACACTGAGTTTCTACATGTGAGAACAGTTACCACTCTAATAAGAGGATTGGCAAAAATGTATTATAAAGTTAAACTAAATTATGACCTGACTGAATTTAGGAAAGAGAATAGAGACAATGAATTCATCACATACTTTCACAAAATAATAGGCAGTTGCACTTTTTTTTAAATGTCTGAAAGTTCTTTGCTTGATGAAAATTGTATAAGAACAAGAGAATTATTTATGATATACTTGTTCAAATAGGGTCAAACTTCCTAGTGTTGTTAACCATGTCATTTGGTCACTGTAATTAACATTTTCAGGTATTTGTAAATCTTTACATAACTGATGTGACCAGAAGGAATTTAAGCTACATCTTCTAAGATAAATTCTGAAATGTCAGAGAAAACTAACTTGTTAATGTGTGATCAGCACAAGAATAAGATCAATGCAGTCTACAACAAGTTACCTTTATATTTAACATGTGTGCCAATGTGTATACATGCAAATGATGTTGGTGGACAAATATTTCATTTTCCTAAACTAAACGAAACACCTTGTATAATTCAAATACAACAATTCAGATGCAAAAGCCAAGAAATGTATGGGTCAGACACCTGCTTTTCCCAATGTACAATTTTTACTATGTTAAACTTGTAATAAAGTTTTATTCATTACCCATTCAACCCGTCTTCAAACTTTATTAGTCTCAAAGTAGGTTCCTTGTCAACAAAGCTGCATGACAATAAAGAAAAATTTACCTGTGTGTATCTGAATAAAGATATATTCTAAATAAATTATAGAATAGTGAAATCCATGACTGTTTCAGTCGCTAGAGGCAGATCTAAAAGGATTTTTTCATACGTGGCCCTCAGAGGCTCAGTGGTAATATATGGGCTTACAAAGCTACAGATTGGGTTTTGATATCCATGGTAGGCAAAGCAAAGATAGCCTATCGTGTAGTTTCATGTTTAACAGGAAAAAAAAAAACATTTTTCAGTTTTATTGTATGATCTTCTCTGGCGTGTCGATTATTGCACATACAGTTTTGTGTGTCTGTTATGTTCCTGATTTCTAGCTTTTATTGGTCTTTCTGTTTTTTCAACATATTGAAATTTCACGTTAATAAGAAATGTAAATAGTATTTATGTAGTTTGGTGTGTGCTTATTACAGTCATGTTGTATTGTGACTTCTGAATACTGTTTACATGTTTTAAAAAATACTTTCGATGTGGAGAAATATAGCTAAGTATCTTCATTTTTCTCTTGCTTATCCATGGTGTCTATCTTCTTTATTATTAATTATTATTTTTCTTTTTCGTATTCAGGGTATCTCTTGTTAAGAAAAATTTTAGTGATAAATGTCTGTCTTTCTTCTTTTAGTATATTCTGTATTTCAAATCTTGTTAATCCTGGAAACGAATCAGTTGGTAACACCCGTATTTACATTATTGGGTTTATTCAATTTTTATTCGAGATATTTATCAACATCTCCTAAACTCTTTGATATATGAGTTCTGTGTTCTAGTAACCAACACACTTAGAAATGAATGTTTGTTATCTTCTTCTGTTTTCATTGTGAATTGCATCGCTGGATATTGTCTGCTTAGATGGTTCAATAAATTATGGAACCTTATCTCTAGTCAGTGTACATGTGATTGAGTAGCCGTATTACGAATGCTCTTTCAACATATTTAACCCAAATTATTTGTTTCAGGATGATTCTTTGAAATGTTCCATCTACAGATTAAGGAGTATTTGTGAGAGAGGTGAGCCCATGATTAGAACTTATTCTTGTTGGTAGTACTTATCTTCAACTTAAAAGTAAGTTATGTTGACACAGAAGGTTGTGAGTCTGTTATTGTGTAGATTGTCAGTTAGGTCTGTTCCCTGAGAGTTCTGTTATTTTCAAGATGTTTGGCAGAATATTTGTACTGTTTCAGTGGTTGGTACATTTGTGAATAGGTTATATAAATGAAATGGATCGAGTTTTTAACACGTGAGTGTGTTTTATCCTTTAGTGATTACATTATCTTTTTAAGGCTGGTATGGCGATTATCTACAATTAACCGTGGGACGGAAAGCGTAGTTGTGAATTTTAGATAGACCATAGATGTGTGAGGTGGTACTTTGGTGTATTGTTAATTGTTTCACTGTTTCTGTTTCAAGTTCTTTCTGATATTTCTTGAAGACCTGGTTAATATATTTCTTAGTGGTAGCTGTTGCGTTAGAGTTGTTCGTCGTGAGATGAACATTTTCAACTTGTAAATAAGGTGATCGTATAGGTTAATAACCATGGCAACGATTGGTATACAATTACCACAACCGTATCGTTAATTAAAACATCATATTTTAATTTTAAAGCAGTAAGAAACGGTTTTTATCATGTAACTTTTGGTTAGTTCTATTTTAATTAATTGTTTCGCATATGAATCAAAGTACCATTTAGAAATATGTGATTTTAATATATTAGTTTGGTTGTTGTTAAGCTTAAAGGTACACAGTGGACTGTCTGTGCTCAGCGCACCACGAGTATCGAAAAACAATTTTTAATGTCATAAGCCTGGAGACTTACCGATGAACCATTGGAGGGTTTTGTAAAATACAAAATGGACATTTTTGTATTCTATCAAAAATGTAACTATATAGATGGCGCTTCTTGTCGTAATAAAATGGCGGCGTCCGTATGGAAAGAACATGTAAAAGTGTCAGTGGAAGACAGCAATGAAGTAGAAAGTTCTGATGAGGATGATGAAAGTAAGTATTAATATCATTCCTTATGCTTAAAGAATATGAGGGTTTGGTTTATTTGTTTGTTAACTTGAGATTGGAACGGTGTTTCATATCATGCTGTGTGTTCCTGATAATGTGACATACCCTTACTGTTAGTGTTAATGTTGTTTAAATTTTATTTTTAAATTAAAGCAAAAGTATACTTTACAAAACATTCGTGATGTTAAGAAAACATGTAGGTCAGTGTACTGAAGATATAACAAACTATTTCAGGGTAGTGAATCATGATACTGTTAATTTTAAGTGTAGTAGGTAACACCAATGCTGTTGATCAAATGTTTTACATTTAATTCAGTTGTATTATTACTGCTAATTACATATATTAAATACATGGTTCAATATTTTGGCAGCTTCCAAACCAAAATGTTAAAAAGCATATTACTGAAAACATTTTCATTGGATAGCTTCAAGTCAAGTAAAAATTTTGTTTTAAATATCAAATATTTCCATTGTAACAGTTTTTCAAGAACACTATTTGTATTTGCTTTAGCAGGATCACACATAAGTTGAATACCTAAAAGAGCCACATGTATTGAGTATTAAAGATGTTTATCTTTTTTCCATTACCATGTGTGTGTGTGTAGTGTAAGTTATTTTCTTTTTTATGAAAAGAAATGCAAAGAATGTGTAAAGACACTATTTTATATGAAAATGTGAAGCTGTAGAATGCACATTATGATAGATGACTGTGATTTTGAATTATAAGCTTTATTGTGTTATTTGTGATGCTGAACATACTCTTGTTCTGCTTCGAAGTGAGTTTATTTGATAAGACTAAGGAAAATTACTAGAATTTCCAAATAACATGAATTATTTTGTGACTTTAAATTTTTGGATTTTAATACAATTAAAAATTTTGAACAAGTTCATTAAAGTTTATAAAGATTAAAATAATTTTGTGATTGAAAATATTACATTTCTTATCATACTGTTGAAAAGTACTAGTTACTGCTTCCAACATTATGGTAATGTACCCAAGTAATCTAAAAGAAATTGAAGGCCAAGAGGTTCACTATTTAACTGCACCTAACATTTACAGTGTTGTACTCCTAATTCATAGATTGGTCAATATTTTAAATAGTTGTTTGTGTTAAGTAAGTGAGGTGTGAGGTTGATATAGAGATCAGATACATGTGCAAAAATAAATATTTCTTTCTTTTATTTCTCAGAAGAAGAGTCCATTAGTTTGGATAATGATGATACAAGCATAAAAGAATCCAATAAAACAGGAAATGATGGCTGGGCGGATGCAATAGCTAAAGTACTTGGCTCATGCAGTTCTAAGAAAAAAAATAACGTGGTTCTTTGTAAAGCAAAAAAAGATGTTGAATTTGCTGAAGTAATTTCCAAAGAGAGAAAAAATGAGGTTCAAGTTGTCAATGAAAAAGGAACAATTACACAAAGTGAGAAGTTGCCTACAAAGCAACCAAAGAAACGTATATCTGATGAAAAAAGGGATATATTGGAGAGAAAAAGACAGGTAAATCTCCTTATGCTAACTTAATTGAGACTTCTCTGAAATACAAACCCAAAAGGTGCCTCTGTATTATTAGATAGCTTTGAATGTTCAAAACAAATTTTTTTATTGTAAATTCATGAAGAGTAGAAAAAAAGTAATATAGATACACAGTGAAAATATACATACATAATAAGTGGTAAACTAAAATTTGTCATTTATAATACCTTTATGTACCTAAATAAAAATGCATGATTTTAATTGTTAAAAACTGATAGTGCAAATTTAAAAAAATATTTTTTTACAGAAATTGCTATGGGAAAATATGGGACGCCAAAAACCAGATGTTACGAAGAAAGAGCAAGAAAGGGCTTTAGCAAGAATTGCTACAAGGTAAGTTTGGATATATGTATATTATATTTTGTTGTTGTTTTAACTAGTTAACTTTTCTGTAGTTGCTGACTTGGTGGTGTAACTCAGACTTGTAAAGAGAATTTGTAAGTTTGAATTATAAGGATTACCAGTATCTTTAAAGTTTCATGAATCAACCAAAACTTAGACAGCATACAGCCCTAAGTAACGTATCAATATATGTATATAGTGTGAGCTTATGTATTTATTATTATTGTTGAAAAGTGTTTTGTATTCTGTAATTGAGGTACAAAGCAAATAGAGTTGCAACCACATGTGCATAAAAGCCTTTTTTTTTCTTAGTTAATATAGATAGAAATTTACTGAAAAATATTGAATTTTTATGAACTAAAAGTAAGATTAATTTAGTGAAATAACAATTTTTATATGGCAGAATGGTTAAAAACAGGGGTTTCTACAAATGTTTTACTTAAACAAGGTTACAATAATTCGTAAAGGAGCTTTTTACACTGGTTTAATCAATAAATTAATTTTGAGTTTAGTTCACAGTGTAAATAAATTTGTGTATTTCAAATATTTTTTAGTTGAAAAAAAAGTTCAGCAAATTCTTTTTGCAGAAAAAGTGCTGGTTATTTTTTATGAAGAAAAATTAATTTAATGTTATATTTAAAAGTTCAAGTTGATTGAATACAGTAGTCATTAATTGGATGAAAACCTATACAGTTGCACATAATGCTCAAAAAACACTATCATTTTTATTACATGCCATTATTACTTATAAAACTTTGGTTGTGATATTCGGTTTCCACTACTGGACTTAAAACTGTGTGATAGCCACATTAAGGACTATTTACTGCAAATGGTTATTTAAATAAACTTGAATACTTCAAACCAAAAAATATCTTCATCACTTTACAAAACTCCACAACTTAAGAACTTCTTAAAGATGGTTTATTCTTTAGAAAATTTAGAAAATAAGTTTTAATACAGAATATATCCATGTAACACTGAGCAGTTTTGTTATGACATATATCATAAGATATTTGTTGCAGCAGCCAACTTATCAAAATTGTGTATATGAATTCTTGTATTCAGAAAATTTAGCATACAGTTTTTTTTTAAAGGATAATGTAGAACCATGTAAACTGATGAGACTGTTTTTGTGCAGTGTCATGTCAAATTTGGTTTTATAAATTACTTCAAGTGACATATATATAATGTAAATAATTTTCTGATTGATTATGATTGCAGTTTTATCAGATAGGCCTGCTTCATGTATGACAAGCATAAAGAAAAAGGGTGAAATATTGCAAGAAAATCTGCATTTCATGGGGTACCATTTTTCTTCATTAGACCTAATGGCAGACTGTTGAAAGTTTAAAAAACTGTAATATTACATAGAGAACATTGTGAAAAATGATGTTGTAAGCATGGTTTCTAGCTGTTATGAAATTCTGGAAAAATAATGGAATATTAATTTTTACTTTCTAGGCCTAAAAAAGGCCTGAAAATGCAAATATTAGAAAAAGTATTGAAGAGCTGTAGGGAAAAAACTTAATACAAAAATGTTTACTAGTATCTGCACAAAAATAATATACATAATGATTGTTCTTATAACTTGGTTGAGAAGAAAAAAGTGTATGCATATCACTTTCCTTAAAACTACAGACACAATCTTCTGACCATAATGTGAATTGATTCTTACTAGATTTTTATGATATTATTATATATTTTTATGAAGATGGTATGAGGAAGTATTTACTACATCATGGGGAAGTGCTCTTTTTAACAGTGAGTGAATAAGAGCAGGATCAAAATATGCAAACAGTGGGTACTTAAATTGGCTTGTAAAAGTGCCAAGAAATACAAAAATGGTGGTGTGTTTTATTTATTATAGTTGGTATGGAAATTTATATTTTTCATCTGGAAAAAGACTAATTTTGTTCTCTATGGCTGCTATGAACTGTGAACATTATTATACATGTCAGTAAACTTGATACATAAAACAATAGGTACACTGTTAAAATCCAATACTATCAAATTACATAAAAACTTATGATTTCTTGTTTGAAAAAAATAAAAATATGAAAATAAAGAAAAATTAATTTAAGTGACTTACATGTTTATGGATTCTGTTATCAAGGTGACAAATTGTTTGTACAATGTACAGCTACTTACGAGACTTGTATGTTACACAGTTTATAAAAAATTGGAGGTGTGCAAGTAAAGGACTTTTATTCAAAGTGAATTTCAGCCCATGAGTCTGAGTAGTGTACATCACATATTTACATGTCAGACATTTGGATTTTTCACAGTGTTGGTTCTGAATATAGACACAAAATTTTAATGTACTGTGTACCAAACAATTGCACAGGCAGAACAAGACATTCGTGTTGATATTAGTGCAGTGAAACCCCAATTTTGTGGGCCCCAATTTAATGTGAATTCGGATATAACGCGATGGGTCATTAACTCTTTCGACACGGGCTTAGTACCTGGGACCGACCTCGTAACCATAACCACGTTATAGTTTACATACTAATTCCTTTTAATATTTTAAGTGTATCTTTACAAAACCCCGATTTAGTGCAACCCCGCTTGTTTCGCGATGACATTTTATGGACCTTGACGATCGCGTTATAATGGGGCTACACTGTATAATGGACAATATGAACCCTGAATATTTTTGTCATCAGTCTAATAGACCAGATGTTTTGGGATCTAATCTGATAACCATCTTAGTATTTGTTTTAATTAAAGGCCTCAAGTTTGTTCCCATAAATGACCATGTTAATAGTTTCACCATAATGAAAAGATATTGAAAATTATTTTGTAAATTGAGACTCAAAGCTCACTTCTATAATTCATAGCTTACTACTTATAAATTTCACTTACTGATCCATTCATGAAATTTAAATGTAATGTGAGTACTTTGCCTGTTGGTCAGTTCACAATGCTTGACTCCTTCATACAGAAGTGTAGTAGTGAAATTAATCAGTGGGATTGCGATCAAGTAGTTCAGTCTAAAAATGGAAGCAAACCCAAAGTTGTAGTTTCACAAAATTTATAAAACAGAAATTAGACCAGTTCAAACACATTAAGATAACCATTAGCACTTCACACCTATTCAGGAGGATCCTCTTTTAAGTTACAGTGAAATTATTGTATCTGTGTTGGAAGAACTATCCCTTAATGCCAAACATTTGATTGTAAAACCCAGAGCATTGGTGCTTTATCTTTAACCCAAAATTCTTAAAGGGATTCCAGTTGATTACAGTCTTTTGGTACACAGTACATTCAAACATGATGATCACAATCTGAACCTACTTGACACCACTATCAAGAATGACCCAAATATGTGAACTTGTAAATGAACTACTAAAAGACATGAATAGAAAATCAGTTTTAACATAAGACAGTCTTTTACTTGCATGTATTTACTGTCTAATATGCAAGCATCATGAGCAGCAATACAGAAGACCAATTGTCTCTTTGATGACAGAATCCATGAACACCAAAGTCCAAGTAGAAAACAAGATAAAGACCATCCTTGTAGATACAGTTTCAGCAGCTTATAAAATTACATTTATGATTTCCGTATAGTTGGACTGAAGTATGCATCATTAAGTATCACTAAAAGCAAACAACTTGAAACTGACTAATTCATAAACTGGTGGATTTTATATGCTGATGAACTGAATAAATGCTTCTCGTTTAAGTAAAATGAACGCATTACATTGTTTACTTTTGTCACATTTTTACTTAATTTGTCAGATTTATACTAATAATTATTTTTTAACTTTATCTGCTCAAACAATAACCATTACAGTTTTTTACATACTATGGTACTATTAGGTTTTAATATTCTAGCTATTGTGATTGGCTTTTTGTATTGCATTCACTGACCTATGTAATATTGTTTAAGACATCAATTGCAAGTTCTTTAGGTAATTGACAATTCTTACTTTTGTATCATTTCAAACTTTAAACAGTCTGCTGTTAGGTTTAAAAAAGGGCCAAAGCATGTGTGATATATCATTGTTTGGGGTAGTGTATTAATTATGTAAATCTTTGTTTAGCCTATTCTTGATAATGTTCGATATTGAAAATGTAAAATTAATTCACAGTATATGTTAAGCAAAGTAAGTTGTTAGAATTGAAAGATTGTTTGATGATTAAGAGGGGCAACAAGGGACCTTTTGGTCTATCTAGGCTGTCCTGTCCACTAAATTTAACTAAACACTAAAAACAACAAAAAATCTCAAAGCCAGCCTTTATCATTCAAATATTTATTAAGCATTCCATTAAACTCCCTTAATTTAACTGCATTAACCACATCTGAATTTAATCAGTTTCAGAGGCCACACACCCTGTTAGAAAAATAAAGCTATCTCAGCTGAAAATGACTTTTTACCTGCCAAAATTTTTTATTTGTGTCCCCTAGTCTTACCAATCTCACCTTTTAATTATGAAAAAGATGATGCATCAACACTATTAATAATTCCCTTAACAATCTTAAACACATCAATCAGATCCCCTCTTATTCCTTTTTTTTTTTTCAAGAGAGAACAGTTTTGGAGATCATAACCTATCCTCATATGATAACCCTTCCATCTCGGGTATCATCCGAGTAACCTTCCTCTGAACCTTTTACAATATTTAAATGTCCTTTCTGCAGTAAGGAATCCAAAACTAAACACAATACTCTAAATGTGGCCTAACAAGTGACCCATACTATGGCATTGTGACCTCTTTAGACTTTTATTCAATATTTCTGTAGATACAACTTAAAATCATATTTGCCCTGCCACTAGCAAAAGCACATTACTTGAATGGCTTAAGACTGATTAACCAGAACACTAAGATATTTTTCTTTCATAACACTGTTAAGGTTATTCCCATCAAAATTATATTCTTCATCTGTGTCATTGATGTAATTAAAAAAAAAGAACAAAGGTTCTAATGCTAAGCCTTGAGGTACCCCACTCATGACATTAATCCAGTTTGACTGAACTGCATTTATAACAACCCTCTGTTTTCTTCCATCTAGCCAGTTTTCTATCCAATGAACCAATCTATTTCCCATACTTACAGAGATAACTTTTCAAACAAGCCTTTTATGTGGCAACTTGTCAAATGCTTTGTGAAAATCCAGATACATCTACATCTGTACCATCATCTAGTAAACTGTAACATCTTCAAAGATTGTCCAAAGATTAAGAAAGCAAGGTTTTCCCTTCATGAAACCATGCTCACTATCCAACAAAATTTTAAACTTTGTTAAATAACTTTTCTCAAAGCACCTTTTATCAGACTTTGAAAAACTTTTTCAACCACTGATGTTATACTTGCCGCTCTATAATTGCTGTGAAAACTTTTATCATCTACCTTAAAAAGAGAAGTAACATTAGCCAATTTCCAATCTAGTGGCAGTTGTGCACTATTCAAAAACTTAGAAAAAATAATAGCAAGTGGCTCACATATCCAATCCTCAACCTCTTTCAAAACCCTTGGGTAAATATTATCTGGTCCAGTTGCTTTATCATTCTTTAAAATTCCAAATTTGTTCTTAACAAGCTCAGAAAAAATGGGATCATCTTATTCAACTTTGTTAGGATCTAAATAAATTAGTTAAGTTCACAGCAGATAGTGGTTGGATGGGGGATGTTTAGTTAATGTGTGAGAAAGCTACAGAGTTATTTTATGATTTAGAAAGTGAGAAAGATTATAACTGTCATTACTGTGTTTACTGGGCAGAGGAGTACGTTATTTCTGTGTAAACTTTTACATAGTTTCAAATGTCAGAGTAAGACTTAAAGTAGGTCTGTTTGGAAATGTGATGATTTTAAGATAATCTTTTTTTTTTTAACACTTAAGAAAAGTGAAATGGTTTGTTGATTTCGATATTGGTTTTAAACTTGAGGTTAATCATTTCTTTTCTCAAAATATTTCTCAGTAAGTTTGCGTGTCATTTATAACTACTCAAGGACTTAGTGGAAAGCCTATTAATCAATTAGGACAGCATTACTCAAACCAAAAAAAAAACATTGGTTTTACATAATCTCAGTTGACTTCCCTCTAATCAGATGCTCAAAAATAAAAAAGCAAAAATGGTTGGTGGCCCAGGGTCAGTAGTTCCAAATTTCTGAAAGTAAAAGATAGCCTTAATAGCTTTGTCATAAGAAAGACGGTAAGCAAGCTTGGTGGTAATATTTCAATTACTTAGATAGTTGGAATAATCAAAAATAGTAATAATCAGAACTCTAATTTTGATTTATTGACTGTTTTTGTGACAATCAATTTAATCATAATTTTGATTAATTGATTGTTGGAATAATTGGAAATATTAATAATAAGTAACATTAATTTTGATTAGTTGATTATTTTTGTGACAGTTGGTATGATTGGAATTTTGATTAATCGATTGTTGGAATTATAAAAAAAACAATAATAATTGGAAATATTAATTTAAATTAATCAATGTAATCAGAATTTTGATTAATTGATTAGTTCAAATGACACTAATCAGTGTATTTGCTACTCATAGGTAATTCATTAAATTGTCCAACCTTCACATAGCTCTATGATAGGTAATTCATTAAATTGTCTAACCTTCACATAGCACTATGATAGGTAATTCATTAAATTGTCCAACCTTCACATAGCACTATGATAGGTAATTCATTAAATTGTCCAACCTTCACATAGCACTATGATAGGTAATTCATTAAATTGTCCAACCTTTACATAGCACTATGATAGGTAATTCCATTAAATTGTCCAACCTATTACATAGCACTATGATAGGTAATTCATTAAATTGTCCAACCTTCACATAGCACTATGATAGGTAATTCATTAAATTGTCCAACCTTTACATAGCACTATGATAGGTAATTCATTAAATTGTCCAACCTTTACATAGCACTATGATAGGTAATTCATTGAATTGTCCAACCTTTACATAGCACTATGAAGATTGTTCACCTTTCACTAATTTAACATCCAAGTTCATTGGCACCATATAATTTTTTCTCTCCTTTCTTTAGGTTGTTTATATACATTACTGTAGGTACTAATAACTTGATCATTCAACTTAAAGTATGAAAAATATTAATTTTTATGTGTCCAAGTTAAATATATCAATAAGGGTTTTATACAAAATTGCATTAAATAGATTGTTTTAATCTTTCTTTTTTTAGTACAGGTGCAATTACTGGAATGTAAGTTGAATAGTTTCGAGATTACTAAATCTTTGTTACTTAGTTGGTAACAAACAAGTATTTTATTTTGCAAATATTAAAGCTTATTTTCATTTCTAGGGGAGTGGTACAGCTTTTTAATGCTGTTCAGCAACATCAAAAAAAAGTTGGAAAAAAACTCAAAGCAGCTGGCGGCACAGAGGTAAAGAAAGAGAAGGCTCTGAAATCATTAACAAAAGGAGACTTTCTTGATATGCTAAAGGGGTACAAGAGTGAAAAACCTAATAATTTAGAAGTATCAGAGAAAAAGGTATGTTTCATATTAATATCTTGTGAAAACATAATGATAAAGCATTTAAGTGCTCTATTTCTTGAGATGGCTAATCTGTCAGTAAATATCAGAATAATAATTTCTTTTTATGAAAGGTATTTCAGTGAAATGACATAACAGTCACATTTATAAGTCAAAGTAATTATATTTTACAATAGCAATTTTTTGCACAAAAAACTACTAGACTAGGTACAGTTGTTTTCAGTATGAACTATGTTGTCAATTTGTCAATAGGAAATTTGCTTTCACAGAAATACAAATGTCACTACTTCCTTAAATATTTTTCACAATTTTACCAAGCATTTCATTTTGAAAATTAGAAACAGTTTTACTACTTATTGTCTTTAGTTAATTAATCTAGTCTGTCTCCAGATAGCTTTATTATTTTATATTACATTTAACATATCTTCTGCAGAGCTTACAAAACAGCCACTCTGGAGGAGAACAGTGGAGCATTCTGCGGGATGATTTTATGATGGGAGCAACAATGAAAGACTGGGATCGGGAAGATAATTCTGACGAAGAGAAGGTGTAAGTTGTACATCCAGGGTAGTGAACTTTGTATATGAAGTATATATGTCTGACTTTTGTACAAACTCTTAACTGTTTGTATATTATAGATTATTGTGGCCTGAACTTGTTTTTGTAACTCTTTAAACATAATAGAGAATAAAACATTTTATATTACCATTGATAATTTGAATAGTTTTTATCAAGTGTACACACACACACACATTTATCACAAAAACATGTAATGGGTATAATAGTTTTGTAAATAAATTAGTGATCAAGTTTTCTCAAAATGGGACAAAACTAGTTGTTTTGGTGTGTTGAGTTTTTGTCTTATAGGTACATCTTAAAGGTATTTTAAACTAATAAAAAATGAATAAAAATATCGAGTGACATAAATGAAAGTAAACTTCATATAACTTTATTTAGAGTAATAGCTAATGATTGTTATCATAAGCTACATTCTGTCAATATTACAGTTACAGGAGTTAATTTCTAAGATATCTCATCTTTACACACAGAATAGCTTGATTCATTCATGCATCTGCTTATGAGATTTGCATGCTACTAGTCTTGAGCTACATAAGAAATATGTGTTTAATGTGAATTGCACCAGTGCATGATGCCATGCGGTACCTTCCCCTAACCACTTGCCCTCAAATTAACTTCATTTGTTTTTCTTGGCATTGTCTAAAATGTTCCAAAATAGTTGATCAATTACTTGAGATTTGTGATAGTTTATGACTGAGTTAATTTTTGTTCAAGTTTACCTGGTTTAGTGTTCTTGTTTCACATAACCAGCATAGTTTCTTTAATTGCAGTGAGAAAAAACTCTTGGTGATTACCCACCAGTATGACTTTCCAAGTGAGATTAACTTCCACTTGATAGTGATGATGTTTCTAACATAGAACCTGTGGCTAGTGGGGGCTTGTTGTATGTGGAGGACATGATAGCCATTGTTCAGTATGCTTTGGATTCCTTCATGCACATTGGGCCTTCTTCCCCCATCCATTCAGACATTGTTCCTTCTCCCCAGTTTGAATGTGACTAGGATGATGATGATTTTAACTGGCTATTTCTTCCACTAAGGTTTACTCTAGGTGGAACTTTATCTGTGTAGGAAAATTCTCACCATTCTGCTCTCTTCTTTGATATGATTTTTCAGGTATGTTCTTTCTTTCTTTTTCCCCCGGTGTTTTTTGATTCTTTCCGTGCTTCATTATATGAAACCCATGTTCAAGTTTACTTTGTCTTCCCCTTCACCTGATATTAGGGTTTATACAGACTCGTTTCTTGAATAATTGTGCACCTATCCTCCTTGTGTAATTGACTCTTTTGTCCTGATTACAGCCATTCTTCATTTCCTTTTCTCAGTTATTAGAATCTCTTTTGCCTGTTTGAAGGCAGACCTTTTAATTTCTAGTTCCATTTCTAGTACCCAGTTTTTATGCTTTTGTCTCTTTACCACCCTCCTTTGTTACCTCTTGTCACTTCATCTTATTTATGAGGTGCTTCATCACACTTGGGAGGAGTTTTTTGGAGAGGGTTGTTATCCTCTCTTCACCACATTGGTTCATAATTTTTCTTCTGCTTTATCCCCCATTACTTGGTTCTTATGCTGTTGGAACAGGATGTTCTCCTAGCTAATGTATGCTTTCCCTCATGTTTATCTCCCCAAAAGGGTTCTTCTGTGGCATCAGTCCTCATTGTATACTTTGGTTTCTCATCTTTCTCAACCTCACACTTCAGTTTCTGCCCCTAGGCCTGCTGAATCTATGTCTCCTCTTCCCATTCCAGCTTTTTTCCCTGTCCTCCCACTTCCTGATAGCAGGATCATCACTTGTCTCATCAGTTAATACAAATACCCTATTGGGTCTAGTTCTCTGGAAACCTGTCTATCTCTTTGTCAACCTTCGGTCTCCATTTCTTGCCAACAAATGGGTTCTTCAGGTTCTCATCCATGACCTATCTCTCCACTTCTCCTTTTTCCAGTTTCCTTTCTTCTTTCCTTCAATCCCATTTATCTTCAGTGTCTCGAGGATGAAGTCTCAGATCTCTTTACCAAGAATGACACTGAGCGAATATTTACCCCTTCTCTGGATTATTACTCTCATAATAGAAGAGTGGGGACTGATACCTAGTTATGGACTTGTAGTCTCTCAACTGGCTTCTTGTCATCCCTTGGTTCCATATGTTGTTGTTTTTCTCTCTATGGTGGTTCTTTTCACACAGTTTATGGATGACTATGGTTGATGTTTCAGATGCTTTTTTACACATTCTGATCACTGCATTCAGTGGGTGTTTTTTTTATTTTATCCATTGAGATTGAGCTTTCCAGTTCTATGCTCTTCCTTTTTGTATTGCATCTGTTCTTTATGTCTTCAGTCGATTCAGGAGAGCATTTGCTCACCAAGTTCGTGGATTGGGCCTGAGATTCCATTATTAATTGGATGATCTCCTCCTTGGCTCTTTGTGGGTGGACTTTTCTCACAACTTCATCCTTCAATGTGAAGCTGCTTAGGTGGGCTGACTTGTCAAGCCTTCCTAGGCTTTTCTCTTGCATACCCAATATTTGGTACATCTGATTATGTCAATACATCTGTGTGCATCTCCTTGCGACCCTGACCAGATTTTCATCTTCTTATAGATGCTTCTTCTCTGTTAACCAGGGGCATACCTTTGAACAATGAAATGATTTGGGGTGTGTGGGCTTAGAAGGAGCATTCATCTGCATCAGCATATTCAAACTTCTCCTTGTCCATTGAGCATGTTCCCATTTCCTCCCTGTTCTTGTGGATTGGTTGATAATGATCCACTCTGACAATTCTATGGTTGTTACTTATATCAACTTTTAGTGGGGTGTCTGTTCCAGGATCCTTTGTTTTCATGCATTGGATATTCTGTTTTGGGCTCATTCCCATTGATTTTGTCTCATGGCTTGTAATTTTCTGGTGGTTCTGAGCTTGGTGATGGATTGCCTCTCTCAGCTGAACAGGATTGTACTCACAAGATGGTCTATCCATCCTCGGGTTTTTCATTGAGTATGCTCTCAGCCAGGACTGATTACACCTTTTTCTGTATGTATACTTTCCTTTTCATCTTCTCCCTTGTGTCCTCATTTTGATACAAGTCCTGTTGGTGGCATCTCTTTGGCCATCACAACCCTGGTTTCCTCTGCTTTTTAAATTAGCATCCAGACTCCCCCTTCCTCTGCCTCATTTCTGCTCTTTCTTGCTTCAACTATACATGTCTCTCTTTCACCTAGGAGTGTCATCCCTTCATCTTCACGTGTGGGATTTGTCTGGTCCATGCCCACAGGGCTGGCTTCTAACCATGTAACCTTTTTTCTTATCTCATTCATGTTGCCTTTCAACTCTGCTCATCTTTCAAGGGGAATGACAGGCTTTACGATGTTGGTCCAAGTGGGCGAAAACGAACATGTGGTGGCC